CTTATCTTTCCGCAAACAATCTTGTAAAATCTGTATTGATCTTCTCTATCAATATATATTTTAAATTTGAAAATTGTGTTTGTATTCATCCCCCCCCTTCTACAAACTGTTTAGTATTCTTGTAGACCCTTTTGGGACCAACAGTTCTCTTAATTTTTATAAAACTGAAGGGATCAACTTCAAACTTCATCATCAAAAAGACAAAGTTACAAATTTTTTTACAATCTCTCTTCCAGTGTGAGACAATTTCACTAACTTTTTTTTATAGTTTTTCTTTGTCTTTTTCTAATTGTGATTTTAATAAAAAATAATTGATTGATTTTTATAATTAACAAAATGCATAAATTTGTTTAAATATCTAAAAATACAAGACATCTTTATTATTTATATTTTACAAATTTTATCATAAAAACTTATTATATTTTGAAACTAATTATATATAAAATAATCGAGTATCTCACGAGCTTTCCGAGTTGAGTATTGGGTAGATTGACTCTACTTGTTAATATGTCGGCTCGAGTTCGAGCCGAGCCTATTCGAGTCGAGTGTCGATTTGACCAAACTGATATCGAGTAGCTCGCGAGTTGTCTCGTGTCGTTTACACCCTATTTATTTACCTCACTTTAAGGTGTCACATGCGATATATCATAATGAAATTGCATATTTATGCCAGTTCATGTAAACAACGGTTAAAACTATAAAGAATAAGTATATCGAGATGAATGCCATATAAAAAAGAATGAAATGTTTTTTTATGTAATTTGTTTGATTAAAATATTAATAACTTTTAAGATAATTTATTTTAAAAATTAAACGAATAAAAGCTTTTAATTAAAAAAACTAAAACAAAAAATCACATAGTTAATCATGGATGGACTTCCTTTTTTGTCCTTGAACACCTTAATTAACCATTTTAATAAATAAATAAAAAACTTATTTAATGTAAGTTGTTTAATCAAATAGAGATGGACACTCAATATTTCTTCTTTAGTTCATAACTTAAAATTGGTATTTAATTATACTTTTCTCTTTTATATATATATATATATATATATATATATATATACTATCTTATAAAATATTTAATAAAAATTCTTAAAAACCATTTTGTATGCATGAAATACTGTATATTAAAGCATATTACTTAAAATTCAAGGTTACAAGTAAATTATGCATAAGTACAACTTATTAAAGCTCCATGTTTGAATTCGTGTAACTAACTACGAATAAACATAATCAAATAGAAAATAAACATCTCATTTTAAAATATAAATAATCTAAAATATAACTAGAATAATCATTGAGTTCTAACAAAATATTTGATTATTGTCTTTATAAAAAATATATATTATTAAATCAAAAAAATGAATTAAAGTAATACACAAAAAATGAAATAGTTAGTTTCATACTAATACCAATATTTTCTTTTTATTTTTTTTATAATATCTTTCATATTTATATTTATTAAAAAATAAAAACATTATTGTTTTCTGAAACCACATAAAACCGTATAATAACATTAATTGAGACAAAATCTATTAATCCTAATAAATAAATAACTTTTAGGACACGTGTCATGTTTCTGTGCGGCAGTTCTTATTTTTTCCCGCCTAAACATGTATCCAGACACAATTTTCACTTACGGTTCAAATAGGTCTATTTAAGTGACATCTGTCCATTTAAATGTTTATTTTCCTGTTTTCGTGGTTTAACTGATTTAACTATGCGGTTGCCTCCAGACTTGCAACATAAGTCTGAAAAAATTCAGAGTTGTAAGTCTGAAAAAATTCAGAGTTGTAAGTCTGAATTTAACTTTGAAGTGGCCTTCAGACTTACAACATAACTCTGGAGAAATTCAGAGTTGTAAGTCTGAATTTATGTCTGGATTTAACTCTGGAATGGCTTCCAGACTTACAACATAACTCTGGGAAAATTCAGAGTTGTAAGTCTGAATTTAACTCTGGAGTGATCATCAAAACCGGGTTTAAAATTTCAAATTCGGATTTTTAAAGCATTTTTCATAAAGCAATATTACCCGGGAAAAAAATCAAGCTGACCTCAGCTCGACCCCAGCCAGGGGCTATGCCCCTTGGACCCCACCACCGGGGGCGTTGCCCACGGACCCCTGTCATTTAGGGGCTTCGCCCCTAAATCAAAATAAACTCAAACAAGTGTGCACTTCGCACCTTCCTTACCTGTTCGATATTTATCATGATTACATTGGTCAACAATTTAATCCTATTAAACTTAAATGACATTAGTGATACAAAACATCAACATGAAGTCATCAGATATTGGTTATTTCTCGGACTTACAACATAAATCTGCATTGTTTTGTTCTAAACTTAGTTATATAGTTTATTTCCAGACTTAAAATACAACTTTGAACTCCTCTTCAAAGTTACGTTTATGAGTTATAAGAAGTCAAAATTATTGTGACTCAGATTAAGGCTTGTAGCTACTTTCTAGACTTATAGGACAACTCTGAATTCCTCTTATTCAGAGTTAAGTCCAGAGTTATTTTTCAGCCTAACAATAGAACTCTGAATTCTTATGTTCCAGAGTTTTTCTCGTTTAAAATACCCCGTGTAATACACGAGGTCGAACCTAGTAAATAAATAAAAGAAAACAATAAAATCAAGATGTATATCGCTGTATTTTGCCCTTCTAATATGTGTATATCAAATATGATTTATAAAAACAGGGTTGGGTACCGGTGAAAATGAAAGTTAAAGTAAGCAGCGTAAGAAGAGATCTGCATTCTTAGATGGACATTAAGATGAGATGCACCAGATCAGTTCTCATATCAAACATGATTTATGGATAAGCTTGAGATTAAATGTGATCAATGATCCAGATCATTTCGTACGCTTTTCAACTTAACTCCCTTTCTAACATAATATTTCGCCTAAAAACATGTTATTAAAATAAAACAATGTATAAAAGTGTACAACAATGTTTAGGTTGAAAGTGGAAATATTTAAAAGATGAAGGGTTAAAATGTAATTGATCAAACTCGTTATGAAATGAAGATATTATGCTTTTGACCTTTTCGCGTCCTCCAATCCAATAAAAATGATCACACCCCCTTAAAATCCATCCGATACCTCGCCGGAAATTCCAACCTTTTCCGATGGCCGTTCTCTTGCACTCCATCTCCGGTTTCAGCCATGGTAAGACACCGACCAAGTTTAATTCCATCACAATTCCTAATACTATCGCTGCCGATTTTATCGGTGTCTCGAAAGGTAGAAACAACAGAAGAAGAATCAGCGTTAGGGTTTCATCGAGGATTAAGGATTTGGAGCCTTGGATTTTGAGTGACGTTACAGGGACCCGTAGTTCGGCGGCGACCTCGGTGAAGCCGAGCAAAGAGGATGAGGAGAAGCAGAATTATTATGTGAATACTGGAAATGCGATTCGGACGCTTCGAGAGGAGTTCCCGGAGTTGTTCTACAGGGATCTTAGTTTTGATATTTACAGGTATTATTCATTTTGATTTCTTTTGCTACGCTTTGTATTTGTTAATTGGTTTTCTGTTGTGAAATCTACTTGAGTTTAAATGTGTGAACTGAAAATAAGCGTAAGATGGGAACTAGAAAATCCGTTCTGAAATATAGCCCTAATTCGATGATCAATCAACGCGAATTTTCAAAAATTCATTTGAATCTGTCAAGTTTCAGTTCTAATAAGTTAGTCCAGACAATGGTATAGACCGATGAGGGCCATAGAATGGATGAAACCATTGACCATTAGGTGTAAAGGGTCATGCTACCGTGGTTTTCCGAGGTAAGTTTTGCAGCATGGGGTTCGTGGATTGGAATTGGAATTTTTACTTCGATTTTTGAATGCATCGTCTTGTGCCCGTGGATTCTATTTATGTTTTACACATGAGGTGTGCTACTTTCCACTGTTTGACTTAGGAGAAGTGGCTATGCTTGTACTAAGAACAACAAGTTTTAATTGATGATTGGTTCATGTCTATTATGAGTAACAACTCAGATCACTGTAGAACATATATGCTTGGCGACCGGTTAAAACACCAGTTTAGTGTTGCATTATTGGAACAAAAAGAGTTGGAATGGGAAAGGAAAGCATCAGGATGATCTTGCTTGGTGTGAAGGATCCTGGTTCAGACTATGAAGTACTTGGATCTAAGCTTGATTCTTTGTCATTCTTTTGGTAAACCTGGGTGTCTAGGCCAGCTTGCGTGCACCTCGACTAATTCCATGGGACTGTGGATGACAGCCAGAAAAATCTCAGTGACAATGAGGAACTAGCTACCTATAAGGAGGAACCCAAGGCCTAGCCTTTATTTGCTAGTTGAGCTGACAGGTATTTTGTAAACTAGTAAACAAAGTAAGGAGATGGGGCACACTAAGAAAGTGTGTTGGTCTAGTGACGAACATTTGCATTTTCCCCAGCAGCAATTATCAATCTAACAAATATTGGTTAAATTGGAAAGGATCTTATGCCGAGTCACAGGGGCATACACAGTTTTGCTATTTATTTGCTGCTGGACTGGTTTTAAAACATATGCAATAAACACTTGTTTGTTTGATCCATTCTTTGATTCTTGATGCATGGTTGATTAATTATTTATGATTTTATATTCTGTTTTGTTTATTGGTTCGAGTTAATTGTTGGTTCTAATGGGTATGAATCACTAGACAATAATCATATACAAACCCGTGAATAACCAATAAAAACCATTCAATGAGTTTGATTTTAAGTTATGAACTTATGATTCACATCGTTTCGTATGATTTGTTTTTTTTGTGTGTGTGTATGTGTGTGTGCCTTTCATATATAAACATAGCATGTTCTTTCCAAATGCAAACTAGTTTTGAACATTTCATATATGAAAAATCACTGTATGAACAATGCATGTTTCGTATGAAACCAAAATGGAAACCGGTTTGTAACATTTATTGGGTTTGTATTTGATTTACCCTCTGAATCACTATTCGAGTATGAATTGTTTTAAAGGCTCTTCACAGGAAAAAGATGCACTGAATCATAATCACAACCATTATGGTAAGAAAGAAAATTGATCCACCCTAATGGTACCAACACATTCTTGTTGCTAAATTTTTGTTCTTTCCAAACTAAGTAGACTCTAATAGTCCCAAAAATGATTATTTTTTTATTGCAACTACAATTAGCAGGTGATTTTCACCCAGGTTTTCGAGGTTGCTTGAATTTGTCCACAACTATTTGTCTTGTGAGTTCTGCCCGAAAAAGAAAAGCTTGATCTCTTTTATGTCTAGTGTTTTGTACTTTCAAGTTCTTTACAAGTAATGTATGAAAGAAAATCCTGATTAGTGCACGTATTTCATAGTATCAATTAGAAGTTTGAACTACAGCATGCTATATATGTCACTGATCGGAGTTATAATTTCTATAGTGTGCAGGGAAATATCTCAACCAGTAATCACAATTTGCATTGCTAATTTGCTACTTTTATATTTTCCTTCTGAATCAATCATTACACATTAATGTTCTGTAGCTAGCCTAGACAGAAGGAAGGGACCAGGAAAGGTAAAAGGATGGGGTAGGGTTAGTTGGTTCAGCTTGGGCTCGGACCTTTCAAGCCCGTCTACAGTGGGGAAAAATCGGTTTCGGGTTGAGAACGGGCCCAATCGGGCTTTTTCAGTCCAGGCTTTTTTGGGCTTAACCGTCCTATTTCAGGCTGCTCCTGCCCCCGAAATTTTGGCCTGGTCGGGCTTTAAGGCCCGGCTTGGGATTCGGGCTCACTCGGCCTGGGCTTTTTGGATCGCGCTGGACCGGGCTTCGAGTTTGGGCTCTTCGTGCATCTTTAGGCTTAGACTAGGGTGTGTCAGTATTTCTACCTTGGTTATTTTTTCTTGTAGCTTCCGTTTGGATGTTTTGATTGTTTGGATGTTTATCTGTCTGTTTGAATGTTGTTGGTTTTCAATTTTGGCCATGCCTTGTTCTTCATGGTCTTCCTCTTTTCTATTTCACTTTTAAGCAAGCTTTATCATTTCTTTTCGCACCTTTTCACAAGCCAAGGGTCTTCACGGAAATAGTTGCTACACTCTTTGGAGTAAAGGTCGGGTCTACATACGTCCCACCCTCTCCAGACCTAGGAGTGTTAACGAGTCGAGTTGCAGGTTATTCGAGCTCAGCTCGACAAAATATCACCAGGCTCGAGCTTGAATAACTTTTTCATTGTAGGGCTCAAACTCGAGCTCGGATATTTATTTCAATGTTCGAGCTCAAGCTTGATACTCTTTTTACGGGCTCGAACTTGAGATCGATTAGCTCGCTTATTGGCTCGATTTCATTAATTTTTATACTTCGATTATATGATTTATGAACATGTATGGCTCGAAAAAGTGTATGCTCGAACGACTTGGCTCGACACGACTCGAAAAGTTTAGTCGAGCTTTCGAACGAGATTAGTCGAACATGGGTGTTATGGAGCTCGACTCATTAACACCCCTACCCAGACCCCACCTCCGGGTGGGACATAATGGTTGGTTTGGTTTCTTTATGTTTTGTTATATGCTAGCATGAAGTCCTTGTTCGTTGTTCATGTCGACTATGATTCTGACTTTCTTCTTCGCGACAATAGGGATGATATCGTCTTCAAAGACCCACTCAACACTTTCATTGGAATCGAGAACTATAAATCAATCTTGTGGGCGTTAAAATTCAATGGAAAAATCTTCTTCAAGGCCTTGTGGATTGACATCGTGAGTGTATGGCAACCTTCCGAAAACACAATAATGATCCGCTGGATCGTCCACGGGATTCCTCGAGTCCCATGGGAAAGCCGTGGTCGGTTCGATGCCACGTCAGAGTACAAGCTCGACAAAGACGGTAAGATCTATGAACACCGTGTCCATAACATAGCCTTAAATGCTCCTCCAAGGTTTAAAGTTATATCGGTGAATGACTTAATCCAGTCTCTTGGCTGCCCCTCGATCCCAAGACCGACTTTTTTCGAGGTATCATTAGCCAGCTCGAAAACTTCATATTCATCTGCTTCCCCTTTGGAATCAGAGCTGGAATCATCGTCACGTAACAATTAGAGTTTGCGGTTTTCATGTGAACGAGAATTTTGGTCTAGTTTCGGTATTGTAAAGTATGGTACTGTTTTTACTGGAGTCGATTATATTTGGTGCCGCAACTAGGCTTTTGTCCGTATGATGGATGACTGTATATATTTTCGTGTATAGTTCGAACGTCATTTTTTTGTTGGAAGGTTTTAGTTGTGTTTCTTTTGTTGAGCGGACTATGGTTTTGCATTTGTTGTATGGGATGTCGGCTAGACGGTGGCAGTAGCCGGTTAGACGTGTTTGCATTTGGCGGTAACGATTATATGGTGTAAACGAACCAAGCCGAGTCTAGTTGAGTAGTAGGTTATTCGAGCTTGAGCTTGAGCTTGAATAATATTTGAGTTATCGAGCTCAATGCTCGTTTATAGGCTCGAACTCTCGATCAATTAACTTGTATATTGGCTCGAGGTTGATAATTTTTATATTTTCATTGTATAGTTTATAAACATGTAATCATGTTGGCTCGAAAAAGTGTATGCTCGAATGGCGAGGCTTGACTTGACTCGAAAAATTTCATCGAGATTTCGATCGAGCCAGGTCGAAAATACTCATCAATATAAAGTTAAACGAGTTCTATTTTTGGAGTTTTTTTGAGGGGTTAAACGAGAACATTTTCAACCTTTTGGAGTTTTTTTGAGGGGTTAAACGAGAACACATTTATTTTATAACAAATGTTAGAACACTTTTTATTATAGTCAATCACATGTGATATTGTAGTCCATCATATATGATACAAGAATGTTTATATTGAGTGTCCTACAAAACATAATTATTATCTAAAATGTAAAGTTTTGAACATTTAAGCATTTGGGTAACCGTTTGAAACCATGCTGATGTGACGAGTGATGGATTCATTGAGTTGAATAGCAAATAATGTTGAGTTGGATACCATATTATTCGTCACATCAGTATGGTAATTGTTCAATGCATCAACTGATTACCTGGATACTTAAATGTTTAAAATTTTCTATCCTAGATACCAAAATGAAAGTTTTAAAAATACATTACTTAAAATAGAAATACAGTTAAAGTACATTATTTTTTCATACAATTTATCATTTATTTTAAAGAAACTACTCAAAATTTGTTGGATAACGCTACAATGTAATTGATTGTATATTTCAATAGAATTTTATACAAACAACTTTAACACCCATCACATTCTATGATATGGGTTTTTACAATAGAAAAAAAATCTCAAACCATGTATACAATTTAGTTTACAGTTTTAACTCTAAAACACACCACATTACACCCTAATAAGTAATCATTATTTAGGTAAAAAGTTGATTACCAGCAATTCTAACCGGTCCTACATAGAATTCGTTTTTATGGACACCAATGTGAGATGACATATTTTGGCTCATTTAGCAGTTGAAGCCGAAGGACCTAGGATAGAACCATAGACTTATCTTGTATTTAAACAAAATCGTTCATTCATTTACCAACTGAGCTACAAAACCAACGACATTTTCATTATTATTTACAAAAAAGTATTGCTTTTCCATACACAAATCATGTAAGGTGGTATTCATTCAGGGACAGACCCAGAATTTTTTTCAAACACTGACATCATCTGACTATAAAAAAAATATAATGAAATTTTTTCAAACGGTGACAACATATATACAATTTTTTTTTTCCAATATGTTCATTATTATTTCGGTAAAAAGTTAATTACCGATAATTCTAACCAATCCTACATAGAATCCATCTTTAAAAACATCAATATGAGATGACATTTTTTAACTCACTTAGTGGGTGAAGCTAAAGGACCTAGGATCCAACCCTAGATTTATCTTTTATTCACCAACCAACTGAGCTACAAAACCGATGGTATTATTATTATTATTCTACAAACAATTAATGCTTTTCCATACACAAATGGACACATGTGGGGTGGTATCCATCCATTCTTTGTTGGGAATTTCAAGTAATAATTTAATTCATTATTAATGCTTTTTCCATTATTTATTATTATTATTATTATGGTATTTTGCAAATTTAGTGCTTATATTTTAGCAACAGTTTTTGGGTGGGAAATAAATGAGGTCCAAATGTGGCAGGGGCCACTGTTTTCCAATTTCAGTCCAGCGGTGGTCTGATAGGGATTGTTTTTCTATGATCTAATTTTACTTTCTACCCCTTTCACTTTTAACCACTTGCCATTTTTCAACCATTTAGATTGGTTTTTATCAACTTCACCCTACAAATATGTAATTTGTTCAAATTGCATCAAAACATAGTCAATTTTGCTTCCATTCTTATTTTTTTAAAAACATGACTTAACGGTCGTACGCAGATCTGACCTATTTTTTGTCGTCTAATGGTATACAATGGGAGACCAAGACTTTTTTACGAGCTTGAAGAATTGTTTTACGATCTTTATAATGGGTTGGGCTAAAAAACCTAGAAATCATTTTTACAGTTAAATTTTTTTTTTATATAAAATCACAAGTTATGTATGATAATTCAAAATACAGTACGTTTTTTTCAACTTAAAGTTAAACGTAAATACATAACAATGTACATGATTTAAAAAATTGTTTTATTAAATATGGAGCATTTATGTAAGAAATTGCCAAAAGGGATAATAAGAAATAGATCAATTAGGTTTTTAAAGGAGACTTAGATGTCGTTTATCCGGACAATTATCTGGTAAGCACTTACTGGTAAACGAACACTCTCACATACCTTATCGAGTAAGATTATAGTCCATCAAAATGACATCATATTATAACAATTTACCCGGTTAGCGGTTACCAGGTAAAAGTCGTCACTCTACTTACTGGGTAAGACTCTCGGTTTTTACCATCGCTTTTACAGTGTCAATTTTTCAGTCTTTGTCGTGTTCATCTGGTATGTTAAAATGACACCAATAAACACTTACCGTATACACGTTTGGCAAACAGACCCTTAATGTTATGAGTTATAATCAAGTGGAAGCTGGTAAGAATCAAGAAATTTCAGACTCATTTATAAGTTTTAATTATAAAAGTAATTAATTAATTAATTCTAAAAAAAATTAATGGGCTCAACCGGTATGTCCAATTTTTTTGGCATCATCCATTAATATAAACAAACCAGTCAGGTCCCTTTTTTTCAAAAAATAGTTATCCAAACCCGCTTTCCTAAAAGATAGGTTGTGCCGTACATGTAAGGACAAACCCATAAATTTGTTCAAACCATAGTACCGTTTGACTATAAGAAACAAATATATAGATGTTTTTCACAAAATCATCATCCGTCTGTTGGTTAGTTTATTGTTTTTCATATGCGAGACCTTGTTTTCAAGTCGTTTATTGTAATTATCTTCAAAAACATAATAGATCTGAAATTAAAAGTTAAAAACTAAGAAAGAAAATGATAGTAAAAATATTCAAACTCGAGTCTGGGATCGAAGATTTTTTTTTCAAACCAACTGTACCAAGAAAAACTTGTGTTTTCATTGTAGTTTCAAAATATATTTGGTGATACACAACAAATTTAATATTCTACTTAACGCTTAACCTTTTTAACAACGTTTTAAGAGTATAATAAATAAAATTTTAAATAATAAAGAAATCATTCGTTAGCTTAAAGTATAGGGTCCTTTTTGCAATTAAATCATAATTCAAGGTTTCCACCGAGCTTTAATGGAAGTCGCAAGTCTGGTTGATTTCGATTTCAACTACCTTTCACGACTAGCAATAAATTCCCTTCTTTCCATATGTTTAACTTGTAATTAACTCAACTTCACACTTTCCCCCAAATTCTTTCTCCAATCCAATCAAAACCACACGGATTTTTGATCTTCATACCGCATGCATAAGATTCCGAACTAATTTCGTACACCGATTTCATGAATTTGTGTTTTACGATCTACGCTAGGGTGTTTTGCTCAGAGGTCGGTGATCAAATGTTATTGAATTTATCTGGGTTTCTGTTTTAAGTGTGTGTGTGAGAGAGAGAGATGGAGGTGGAGGAACTAAATCAAGCAATGACATTTGATGAGGCGTCAATGGAGCAAAGCATGAGATTTGTTAATGCATTACAGGTTTAATTTCATCTATTTCATGTGATATCAGATCTGAGTTTATGATATGAAGTGAAATTTATATATGTTGAGTATGAAATCTGTTCTGTAAGCTTTAGTTTACTGTATTGGGGTTCTGTTTCGTATGTAGCTCAATGTGTGTTCATCTTATGTGAATAAATTATAATATTAGGGCACAAAAATCTTAATGAAGTTGAAATGTATAGAGTTCCAATTGAATGTAGGCTCGAGAAGTATTCAAACTTGTGACTAGCTCATACTACCCTGGTGGTTTGGGTCATTTAACATTTTGATTATCATGTGGAGTGAATTATGAAAGTAAATTTGAACGAAAAGAAGAATCGCTGTTCAGAAAATCATTCTTTAAACTCTCGAACAATCATAGGGTTTGCATTTATGGCGTTTGGCATCTCACTGAAGAATCAAAGAGGGGGGGGGGGTTGGCATCTCTCAAAAGTTTCCTTGTAACTGCAATATTAATAAAAACCCATGTTCCCAAATGTGTGACAAAATAAATAAAACAACGAAAACATAGCTGAATAAAATAAATTTATGGTACTTCCAATTCCTACTTAGTGAACAGTGAACTACATAACGAGGAATGGTGCAAAGGACAATGGAAATAGTTTCCAATGGGTTTTTAAATGCATGTCGATTGTATATGCAATCTATTTCTTTTGGAGATGTATCTTACTTAAAGTTAATTGGTGTCGGATTGGCATTTATATTCTAAATGACATTCTTCTTGAAGTTCTTTCATTAGTGTTAAAGTGTGCTATGAAAAGTCATATTCAACTTGTTACTTTTCCAAATTAGGGATGTGTTTATGCTATAACGACTTAAGGGTTTGTTGGAGGCTTTTAGATCTTCATTAAAATTGTAGATAATTGTCGCATTGTTAATCAGTTTTGACTCTTGTATGATGTTTTAGGAACTCAAGAACTTAAGGCCTCAGCTTTATTCAGCAGCAGAATATTGTGAAAAATCTTATCTACACAGTGAACAAAAACAGATGTAAGAATCATCTTACTGACTACCCATTAACTATATTGCTTAATCTTATGTTGAAATATAGGTGAATGAGTAGTTAACTTTTCAAATTGTCATACTTAACTTTTCATTATAAATAAATATCATCCTTGCCAAAAAAAACTCCAAAAACCGAACTGAACTGACCCGGTAAATCCCACTCGAAAGTAGGGTTTGTTGGGTGAGATGTACGCATACCTGATCTCTACCCGACCTCTACCCAACAGGTTAGAGCGGCTGTTTCCATGAAGACAGCCAAAGAACTAACATTTTGCAAATATATGAGCAATCATAAGGTTGGAAAATGTGATAATTTTCATGTGTCAAATAGTCCTCTCTTCTTCCTTTAGTAGAACCAGGAAACCACACCCGAGGAGACAAATTGCCTCCTCCCCGTGTTGCACTTCTTTAAAATTCAGTGAGCAACTCACAAGTGTTGGACTCAAACTTAGAACATATAGACTATCAGGGGTAAGTTTATAGTGCATGAGCTGGCCGTGCTTAGAAATACCTTATTTCAGTGTCAACTCTTTTGAATCTTTTCCTACTATTCCCTGATACTTTATACGAATTGTGCTGCAGGGTCCTTGATAACCTGAAAGATTATGCCATTCGAGCCCTTGTAAATGCTGTTGACCATCTTGGCACTGTTGCTTACAAACTGACTGACCTTCTAGACCAGCAGGCTTTAGAAATTTCATCAACAGAGTTACATGTTACATGTTTACATCAGGTAAGATATCTTGAACTTTCTTCCAAGAGGTCTGTGTCTCTGTGATACTAACCTAATTGAGTTGTTAGCCTTCTGACCATCTTATTTGTTTCCTTCGTTGCAAACAAACCACCTTTCTTAGAAAAATGCAAAACAAAAAGAACACCACACTCTCTAAGAACGAGGGATTTTGGACAAAGTTTGCGATGTAGAATTGGTTTGTTTTTCCATCCAGATTTCCACAATTTATCCCAAATCACTCATTCTTGAAACAATTTGTTGTTTCTTGGGCACTTCCGCAAGAATAACAGTTTTTTTGCAATGAAGAGCCAAACATGAGGGTTCAAAAAGTAAATGACACCAACACAATGTAACAATATTTTTTTTATGTTAAGCAACTTCTTACATGCCAAACATATACGGATAGAGAGGCTATCAGGCAGCAGCAATTATTAGCAGTTTTACCAAGGCATCACAAGCATTACATTTTACCTAGTAAGAATCTTATCCTTTGGAGACTTTGAAATACATAAATGGTGGTGGGTACAATCAATATGTAATGGCTTAGTCCTTTTCCTATTGTCTCTTCTTTCAAGCTAGATTCTGTCAGCAAAAAGGTCCATTTTAGCCCACAGATCCAAACTGATGTTAGACAAAGTCATCTTCAACCAAGACCTCGTCAATTTACTTCAGGTAGCAAACACTCTCTTCGTCTCAGGAACGTAGCAATACTTTTCTTTTCAGGATATCGATGAAAAACACAACATTTCCTTCCTGGGAACTTTGCAAGTTATAATTACTTATTTGCCCTTTATTGTCATTGCAAACTAATTGATGCCCGTATTGAGTTGGGGCTTACAAGATTACCTAAGTTTGTCATTCTTAAATAGTGATTGATTTCCATTCTCACAAGAACAACGGTTAGTTTGTACAAAAACCACGTGTGATGTATACAAAAGGTCAGTGGCTTCTTTTTCCAAGAAAAAGGTCCATGGCTCCTTTTATTTAGGGGTTTTTCAGATACATAACAAATAGTCAAACATTTAGTTAAACTTGTACCAAGTGAAACATTGCAACTTTCACGGGACTATCGGAGTTCTTTCTAATATTAGCTTGTCCTGTATTTGCATTTTTATAGAGGTAAGGTCTGCATACATTGGGTTCCACCTCCAGGTGGGATATATTGGGTTCGTTTGGTTCTATTTATGGAATTATAAAATTCTGAGTTCGTTTGGTTTGGTTTGGTTTGGTTATACACTTATACAAACCAAACCACACCACACCAAACAAAGCCCAACATATCCACACGAAGATGGGGTGTTGGGCGTGAAATTTATGCAGACCTGACCTCCACCCCAAAAGGCAGAGCGGTAGGTCATATACTTGTACATTGTGGTTAATCCAGGTACCCCAGCTGCAAATACTCTTTCTTGGCATTTAGCGACTGAAACCAAGTCTACTTTGAAAGGGAGTTCACGCCCGTTGATGAGGTAATCCGTGATACTATCACATAGTTCTCTGTGCTAACAACAAAATATTTCAGGTTTGCATTTGTTTATATCATTATCCATTCTCTGTTTTGTGGGTCTTGTCTCCATTTATTTCTCAAATCAAGTAAACGAATTGGGACCCACAAAACGGAAATGACAATAACAAAAACAAACAAAGCCTAACTGTTTCCTGTATCTCTAGCCCAACGACTGTAAACATAATGATTGTTTAATATTTCCAGCATTGAAGATTCCAAAACGTCTCGGCGTACTCCTACATCTTTTCACACATCCAGTAAGCATGAGTTTGATAAGCTTATATTTGGCAGATATTGGTCACGAGAAATTGAATGTTTGGTTTTTCATATGTAGATGCCGAAGACGGTACGCGGAAAAAACCCTCGGCGGATCATCTTCAGTTGCCGAATGTAGGGCCAGCTTCAAGTACAGCTATGCAGACACTTGGCATCACACGACGGGTATATCAAAATCAACAAAAGATGTCAAACATGCCCTGCAATTTTTTACGGGAAAAATTGCATCAAAATGCAACGAAGTTTGCTTTAGTTCCTATTTAATGTGACAAAGAATTGTTTTTTTTTTTTTTTCAATCAATATAAAGAAGTTTCAAAATATTGTGTTTTTCACCCATTTTGATTGATAATCTGCTGACCTTGTAACATCTAATTATGTGGGTTTCAAGTTTATCGTCCACTTCACTGTAATCCTTTTGTAAATGGCTATTCACGTCATTTAAAGTTACAAGGTTAGCCGGTTACCGGTTAAAAGATGCACAAAATAGGAAATTTTGAAACTTTGTTATATTAATGGAGGGAGAAAAATATTTTTTAACTAAATAGGAACAAAACAAAACTTTTTTGCATTTTACGCTTAATATTCAGTTTGATGTTGCCCCACAACTAAAAGGGTGTTTTAGATATTTGACAAAATACGTTTTGATGAAATCTCGTTGTGACAGGATCCGAGTGAGGTTCCGAAGCCAATGACACCATTCCGATCATTTGATAACCCGAGACGTGATAGTGTGCGTGGACCTGCTCGCAGCAAGAGTCTCTTATCGGCTTTCTTTGTCAAACAAAAGACAGCCAAACAAGCCATTTCATGAAAGGTACAACTTTTGTTACATACGATCATTGGAGCATCTCCGACAACTACTCTAAAAATTTCTGTAAAATAGAGAACCAAAAATTAAAATCTCTAAAAAAATCACACTCAACTTTAATAAGAATACTCTGTTTTCGATATTTAAATTTTAATTGTATAATTAAAATATTATATAAATTCATTATCTCAATACACCTTAATTTTTTTTAAAAGAAAATAACGGTACATTCGACCTTATTGGTGGAAATAATGAAAATAGTATTTCTATTTCTTCGAAATTGAGTTTTAGAGAATTCTTCAAATTTGGAGATTTATAGCTTCTCTATCTTGTTTCATCTGTTTTAGAGTAGTTGTTGAAGCAAAATAATCTCTAAAATCTCTAATTTAGGTGTCGTTTACTAAACGCTTACCCGGGTAAGCGCTTACCAAGTCACTTTACTTTACCGGATGAATATGGCAAGGATTAAGAATCTTACCCGGTAAGAGCGAAGGCAAGAATCGAGAGTCTTACCCGGTAAGTGAAGGGCAACCACTCTTACCATGGTTAGCACTTACCGGGATAAATTGTTGCATACGATGCGTTTTAGTGAATAAAATCTTACCCGGTAAGTAAATGATAATGTTGAATTTTACCGGTTAGTGTTTAGGTATGTGGCCCCTTAGAAGTAAAAATGTAAAATAGTCACCAAAATCTCTAATTTAGAATAGCTATTGGAGTAAAATGGTCTCCAAAATCTCTATTATTTTAGAGTAGTTGGAGAGGCTCTTATATAACATTATTGCTCTACATCATAATTCAGTCATTCCCACCATCAATTAAGTCCCACATCAGGTAGACTTGAATTAGTGCTCCTGAAGAAAGCTCTTTTGGAGCGTAATATAACATAGTTCCACATATTTTTCAGATATCAAGTCTTGTGATTTTGTTAGGGCAAATTGCATGAAAAAGTAACGTACTTTAACTTGATTCCTATTCTGGGTAACGTACTTTCAAAACTTCCATTTTGGTACTTAAGATGTAAAGTTTTAAACATTTAAGTACTCGGGTAACTGGTTGAAACATTAACCGGTTACCATGCTGATGTGGCGAGTGATGTGGTATCCAACTCAATATTATTTGCTATTCAACCAATTTCATCCCATCACTTGTCACATCAGCATAGTAACCAGTTATCTGGGTACTTAAATGTTTAAAACTTTACATCTTAGGTACCAAAATGGAAGTTACGAAAGTACGTTACAAAAAATAAGAATCAAGTTAAAATACATTACTTTTCATGCAATTTGCTCATTTTGTTACAATGTAGTCATTATATTTAATAATCAAATAACTTTATTGAACTGTGTAGGGAGGATGAGATCAACGGTTACAGGTTGTTGTAGGAATAACGTTGGAAAAGAAGGCGGTCGGAATGTTTTTCGTTAAACTAGTGTTGAGTATGTAGTTGTAAATGTTGTAAGAAATGGATAACATTTGTGTAATAAACAGGACTTAGATGATTTTAATCCATGCTCATGGGACCCATAAATTCCTCTTCATATCACATAATTCTTAATTGTTTCAAAATAATTGTTCATATTTTTATTGCAGTATGTCTCAAAATAAATGTCTATTTTCTAGTTTTATTCTTAATAGATGGTTGTTAATCTTTCCATCATTAAGGGTATGATTATCGTTTAGTTAATAAAAATGTATAATAATTACATATTTTTAAAACTATGTGTGTGTTTTTTACGTGTACATTCATTTTGGGAAGAGGAAGTATATAGTAGTCCACAAGATGTCATCTTATGAGGTGGCATCATTATACTGGTTAAGAACCATCATGGAGGTAAATAGTGTCTCCCAAAAGTATGTGGGTGGTAAAGATGATTAAAAATCGGTTCGAAACCAGGCCCGGTCCCAGACACTACTTCTGTAACCGGTCCCAGTCTCGCTCCCAACCAAAAACCCAAGGCCCGATCAAGGTGCTTTGTAAGCGGTTATGAGGATTGGTCACGTCTGGGTCCCAAATCGATCCTAAGTATTTTCTTTAAATCGGTTTTTTTACATAATTTTTTTTGAAGTTTTAAAAAAAAACACAAAAGTGCATTTCTAATACATTTGAAAATATGTGATTTAGTCAATTAAATACACATAAAATATTTTTTTTTTGTGAGAGTACGAGCCGAAATAATAAATTATAACAAGAATTGTAATTCTTAAATAAGGATATTTAAAGATATTTCTTAAATAAGCTAAAAGTATAATATAGTAGTTTTATTTTTGATAATTAATCAAAATATTTAATTAATTTTTTTAAAATGAAATATTTAATTAAAATTAGTTACCTAATATATCAATTATCTAATAGACATCGTATTTTAAAAACGTTATTGAATCAAAGTGTATCATAGTGATAACGTTCACAATGTATTTTCTTTGTTTTATGAAATGTATCATAGTGTGCATTCTTGTTATTTTCATTACTTTACAAAGAGTATCACATTGGGCATCTTTTATGTATATCTGAGTATCATAATAAATATCGTTTGTATGTATCATACTGTGTATCTTGTGTTCACATAAAGTTCATCGAAATAGGGTTTACCGAATAAGATTTGCCGGAGAGAAGAAATAAGAGAAATGAGAGAGGATATTTATAGAATCCCTAAAATGTCTTAATTAATATTTTAAATTAAAATTATCAAAATTATATATTTTCTATTTTAACCTTAATTTATGGTTGTTGAGATTGTAAAATTACCAAAAATAAACAAGTTTGGAATCTATTCCATCCAAAAAAAAGTATTCAAAAGACATAAATACCTTCTGCTACTGTTAAACCCTAGCCGCTGCTTTCACTGCTAACTTCTGCTTTCATCTTCCATCGAACGAACGCTCATCTCTTCCATCGAACGCTGCTTTCTATCGATCGAACGCTCCTTTCATGAACACTGTTTTCTATCGATCGAACAGGTATTGCTTTGATTCTCAAACTTGTTTCTGCTTTCATCTCAAGATATGAACCGCTAGCTTGAAAGAAGAGACAATAGAAAAAGGACTAAGCCATTACATATTGATTGTAGCCACCACCATATATGCATTTCAGAGTCTCCAAAGGATAAGATTCTTACTAGGTAAAATGTAATGCTTGTGATGCCTTGGTAAAACTGCTAATAATTGCTGCTGCCTGATAGCCTCTCTATCCGTATATGCTTGGCATGTAAGAAGTTGCATAAAAAAATTGTTACATCGTGTTGTTGTCATTTACTTTTGAACCCTCATGTTTGGCTCTTCATTGCAAAAAAAACTGTTATTCTTGCGGAAGTGCCCAAGAAACAACAGATTTTTTCAAGAATGAGTGATTTGGGATAAATTGTGGAAATCTGGATGGAAAAAGAAACCAATTATACATCGCAAACTTTGTCCAAAATCCCTCGTTCTTAGAGAGTGTGGTGTTCTTTTTGTTTTTGTTTTGCATTTTTCAAAGAATGGTGGTTTGTTTGCAATGGAGGAAACAAATAAGATGGTCGGAAAGCTAACAACTCAATTAGGTTGGTATCACAGAGACACAGACCTGTTGGAGGAAAGTTCAAGATATCTTACCACAGACCTCTTGGAGCTATGTAGATTGGAGACTGTGGTCTTTAGGACTCTTCAGAAATCAGACTTCAATTCATCTCTGGACTCTGGAATGAGTAGTCTTTCCTCATTTCATGCTTAGATGATAATAAGAAGTAGAAATATCTTGCATTCTTTAATTTCTTTCTATGCTAATCATCCTCCCAGTATGCATCTTTTGACTCAACTGGAAACACACTTATTAGCTCCGGAGGACTTAATTTTCTAGTATTTTACCAGAGTGTAATCTTAACATCTTATAGGTGTAATTGTCTATTATTCATCCATCCAATAAATGTTTAACCCAACCGAACCGAACCAACCCAATTTGCACAAGTTGGGTCTGATTATACTTTAAAAAAGTTTTGAACGGTTTGAGATTTTTTAGGCCTAAGTAGTTGTATGGAGTTGTTTAAAACCTCTCAGGCCAACCCATGCACATCCCCACTTTGTCCATGTGCACCATGCTTATAACATCCACATGTCTAATTTGCTGATGTTTTTTCGTATTTATATTGTAGGCATTCAATCGTGTGGTAGCTTATTACAAGTTCATTTTAAGAATAAGGTTGGTTCTCTACCAAAGATCTTTCAGCATCTCTGGGCATCATGAGCACCACTACAGTTGGAACGAACCTAGAGATTTCTAAGTACGCCGTTAGACCCTCTTGCCAGAAATCATACAGCTCTTCCTTTTATGCAAGCACATGCAAGTTTTTTTGCTTGTCTAGGAGATGTACACCATTATCGCTCACTTCAAGGAAAGTAGAGAACAGAAAATATTCAAAAAATGAAATTGTATGCTTGGTTAGCAACAATCTTGGGGGAACTACGGAGCAAGAGGGTCTTACATATAAGGAGGCTGGTGTTGACATAGATGCAGGATCAGAGCTTGTACGAAGGATTGCAAAGATGGCACCTGGAATTGGAGGCTTTGGTGGACTGTTTCCACTTGGTATGGTTTATTAACGATGGATATTTTCTTTCTTGTATTCCTTACACTAATAGTATTTGTATTGATTGCTTGTGGTGTAATGTATAAAATCCAAACAAGTGATAGGAAATTGAGGACATTGTTTAAAATCTTTTATATTCCCATGTTTTCTCCTTGTGCTTTATATATTTGACTTCAAAAAGAGAGCAAACTTTCAATTATTGTACGACTTTATGTGTAACGTTTCTCATTTTTTTGAGCAGGGGATTCATATCTTGTAGCCGGTACAGATGGCGTGGGAACTAAACTTAAGCTGGCATTTGAGACTGGAATACATGATACCATTGGTATTGATTTGGTATGGTAGAATTTACATCTTCCCCTAATTATCTTGTATGAGTAATGTCATTACTGACAAACTTTATCCTTAGGTTGCAATGAGCGTTAATGACATTATTACCTCTGGAGCAAAGCCTTTGTTTTTTCTTGATTACTTCGCTACAAGCCACCTTGATGTTGATCTTGCTGAAAAGGTGTATAGCCTTGTCCTTGCATAAACGATTAGAAATATTCCGTTGGTCCCGAAATAAGTGACCACATTTCTATTTTAGTTTGTCCCAAAATAAGCGTCAACTCTCAAAATTAAGTGCCTACATCCCAATTTTACCATTATGAGAGATGGAGAATTCATTACTCTCTCTATTATAAGGGTAAAATTGGTATTTAGTTAATTAAAAAGTGTAATAGTTAAACATTTCTAAAACTGTGTGCCTTTTTCATTGTGGACATCTATTTTGGGATGAAGGAAGTATTAATCATGGTGACGACAGACGAGAGCTAATTTTGTGATTCTTCAGGTTATAAAAGGAATCGTTAATGGTTGCCAACAATCTGATTGTGCCCTTCTGGGGGGAGAGGTAACTTCGTCATGTATTTATTTGGTTAATTTAGTGATTTTGTGGCAGTGAGTACTTTTGCACTTCGATTTGTTAATGCCAAGTATTTGGTTAAGTTTGCTGGCATATGATTAATAGTTAATATTCGTTACCTTACACAAGTATTAGTTTCTCCCACTCTTGTTTAGAGGTGCTACGGTGGGGATCCACTTTTGAACTATCGACTTATTTGAATCATCGTTCCAGATTTTCTGTTGCAACAAGCTATCGTTCTTGACTTGTAAATATGCAAAAAAATTGTGAACACTCCTTGACTAGTAGCAATTGGATTTCGGTTCTAAAAAGAATCCTTTTGAGATTCTGCCTTCCAGCATAAACATACTGTGTGGTTTCCGGGAATTTAAAACTGGATTTCCTCCATAAATTATCCTGTAAGGAAGAATGGTTTGATTTGTAAGGAAGCTGTTGTTCCAGATTTATTGTTCTTGACATGCAAGGAAGAACAGTTTGACAAAAGATTAGAAGTGCGTTTTTTGTTTTTACATTTTAACAATCTATCTTCACTCATTATTGCAGAATATAGTGTTTTCTTTGGGATTTTCTCAAAAACAGTAGCTAGTTTGCAATGAAAAGCCAAAGTACGAACCAAAGGGCCTTTAGCCTAGCGGTATCGTAGCCCTTGGCCTTCTAGGAGGTCAGGGGTTCAAACCTCACCATCGGTGAGGAGGGTGTGTGAGTTTATTTGTTGCATTTGCCGTATATAAATGTTATATACTTCAAAAAAAAGAAAAAAGAAGCCAAAGTACGACATGGTTCAAAAAGTTAATCACTCGTTTACTTTTTAAACTTTCTCCGTGGCTTTTAATAAATTGGCAAGAAATGTTATTACAAGACTTGTAAAATTCAAAGGAAAACTTCATTGCATTTCTTTTAGATACGATTTAGCAACTTACTCAATGCACTTTGTATACGGTTAAGTTCTGTTGTTTTTGGCTTTCAGACTGCTGAGATGCCAGATTTTTATGCAAATGGTGAGTACGATCTAAGTGGCTTTGCAGTTGGCATTGTGAAAAAGGAGTCTGTTATAAATGGAAAGAACATTTCGGTTGGAGATGTGCTCATTGGCCTGCCATCTAGCGGAGTTCACTCAAATGGGTTCTCTCTTGTTCGAAGGTTGCCATTTTTAAAAAAACGGACCTTCATATGATCTAAACTGCACTTAATTTGTAGCATTTTAATTTCTTTATTCTCATATATTAGTGTCTATATATCGTTCTAGGGTGCTAGCTCGAAGCAGTCTTTCTTTGAAGGATAAACTCCCTGGTGAATCCATTACATTAGGCGAAGCTTTAATGGCGCCAACTGTAATATACGTTAAACAGGTCATCCGTTCTTCTTCTGCATTTTTTTGTTAATATTCGTTCCTTTTTTTCCTTCTCATTTTTTGATTATGTTAATGTAGGTGCTTGATATTATCAGCAAGGGGGGCATAAAAGGAATTGCCCACATTACTGGTGGCGGATTTACAGATAATATTCCTCGAGTTTTCCCTAAAGGCCTTGGCGCTCTCGTTTATGAAGACTCTTGGCCAGTTCCTCCTGTCTTCAAATGGATCCAAAAGGTATGGTTCTGATTTGCAACCTTGCTTCGATATATGAGGGCAAAATTTAATTACATTAGGGAATAGGGTTTTAGTATGTCTAATTACAATTTTGCCCTTAATAATACTGGCAACCAAGTTGATCGGAATCGATTTGATTCTTGTGCATTTAGAGGAATCATGATATGTACCTCCTGTCCCAAAATAATTGTTCACGTTTCTATTTTAGTTTGTCTCAAAATTAATGTCCACTTTCAAAAGTAAATATCTACTTTCCAATTGTATCCTTAATTACGAGACATAGGAAATTCATTACCCTCTATTATTAAGGGTAAATTGTCAAGGGTAATAATTACACAGATCTAAAGCTGCCCTACTCGTTGCTGACATTTATTATCGGACGATGGGAGTATTTGTTAACAAGCGGCTACTTATTTTTTGTTGCAAACAAATGTTTGTTCTTGAGAAAATGATGAAAAAGAAAGACCGCTCGGTTCTGGACATGAAAGCCATTTAAAATGGATTTTTGCATTTTATGTTTTATGAGTTGTCAAAAATTGTTTATCGTTGAAAACTACTCCCTTCATCTCAAAATAAGTGTCCACATTTCTATTGTAGTTCGTCCCAAAATAAGAGGGCGTTTGGTTCGCTGGAATTCGCCAGATGGTCAATTCGGTTGACCAAATTCCATTCCAATGTTTGGTTACCCATGGAATGGAATTGAATTCCAAACATTCCTCGTTTAAGGATTTCACCATTCTTTCATAAAAGAGATGGAATTGAAATCCATTACATCCAAAATTTCATAAATGACAAAAATACCCTCATTACAACTTAATAACCCTAGGCGCACCTTTTCCATTCTCATCTACTGCTTCCAATATCGAACTTGGTTTCTCTCATCTTGCACGACTTGTTTCATCTTCATCATTGATGGAAGACTGCAGATATGATTTCTACGTATGATATCTGCTTCTGATTTCGATTTCCGCATACGATTTCTTCTTCCAATTTCGATTTATGCATACGATTTTTGCTTCCAATTTCGATTTATGCATACGATTTTTTGCTTCCGATTTTGATTTCTGCATACGATTTCTGCTTACTGTTTTCTATTTCTCTGCGATTTCTGTTTCCGATTTTTGTTCTGATTTATGTTACTGTTTCCTATTTCTGTTCCTAGATGTCAGCCAAACAGAGCTCACAAAAATCTAAAGGTCAAACAATCTGCTCATTAAATGTTAATTTTATTAGTATGTGTAATCAAAAAAATTAAAAAGATATCAAAGGGTATTTTTGTCTTTTTTTCATCATTCCATTCCGATTTTGTTGTAAACCAAACAGGCAGATACCAATTCATTGGACAGATTACATTCCGTTCTTGTGAACCAAACACTTGGTCAAACCTGATAACATTCCATTCCAATTCCATTAACAGATTCCATTCTTTCAGAAATCATTCTGCAAAACCAAACACCCCCTAAGTTTATACTTTTAAAAATAAGTCTTTTCCAATCCTGTCCATAATTATGAGATGGAGGAATATATTACCCTTTCTGTTATTAAGGATAAAACTGTCATTTAGTTAGCAGAAAAGTGTAATATTTACACATACTAAAACTCTACTTTTCCATTATGGACATTTATCTAGGGACAGAGGGAGTAGTGTTTTTTATACATATTTTCGGGTAGTTCACAACAAAAAGTTGATCACCAAGTTTATAACAACATAATGCTCTGCTTTTTCTTTTCTTTTTCAGGCAGGAATGATCGAAGATGCTGAAATGAAGCGAACTTTTAATATGGGAATCGGGATGGTTCTTGTTGCTAGCAAAGAGGCTGCCGAAAGGATACTTAACGAAGGCGAAACGGCATACCGTATTGGTGAAGTCATAAGCGGTGATGGTGTAAGTTACCGATAACAAGTTGCTCTCATGGTCCCTTCTTTGAGGTACGTGATTTATTAACAAAAACGTGCAGGATTTGCTCATATTGTTGTTTTAGCGTCGTATTTTCCAATTTTGGAGATGAAAAACAAATGTTTCAGAATTTTGCGACTCAGAAGCGCGCACTTGTGTGTGTATTGAAGTTGTTTTTAAAAGATTTTTTGTATTATCGTATATTAGTCGGCTATCGAGTCTTGTATCCATGGAAATCGTAAGATTCTTGGCCAAAGATCATGCAAATCCGTGAAAAGTGCAGTTTTTCTTCGAAAAATCACTTCTTCGGTCGAGAGGGCGTTAAATATTTACGGTCTTAGCAAATAGTTGTTTAAAGTTAACGATGGTAAATTCTGATAAGCTAGTTGGAAATAAACAAACATACGAACAAACGTGGTACAACAAAATATGTTAGGATGTTCGTAATGTAATTGCTCGCTCGTTTATTCCACCCTCCATCCTTTTACGTCATCTACGAATCCTTAATCCTAATGTGATCTTAGGGGCCGTTTACGAAATGCTTATTCGGTTACGTGCTTACCAAGTCGCATACTTTACCATATGAATATGGTAAAGACCAAGAAGATTATTCTGCAAGAGCAAGACAAAGACCGAGAATCTTATCCAGTAATTGAGGGCAATGACTCTTACCACGGTTAGTGCTTACTGGGTAATTTTTTGCATATGATGCCATCTCGGTGGACTAAAATCTTACCTAAGTAAGTGATGGTATTGAATTTTACTGGTAAACGCTTACTGTGCAAGTGTTTGGTAAATAGCCTTTTACTCTTGTGTCTCTAGAAATTCTTAACTCTTGTCATATGTCATGTCCTCTAAAATGCCTAAAGTTTGTATGTCCAACCTAATTTGTTAATCCTACGTTCTTCTCGTCTCCTTGACTGTCAATGTTTATATCCGCATCGGAGTTGCTATTTGCAGCTGCCTCCTACGAATGTGACCAAATCACTGCAATTAGAGGTGTATATGATGCGAGTCGAGTTTGAGTATATTAATATACTCGACTCAAACTCAATATCCATTTCTCAAGCTCGAACTCGACTCTAAAACTTGCGACTCGATTGCAATTTTTACGCTCGAACTCGAATCAAACTCGAACTCGATTGCAATTTTTTACGCTCGAACTCGATTGCAATGTTTTACGCTCGAACTCGAATCAAACTCGAACTTGATTGCAATTTTTTACGCTCGAACTTGAATCGAACTCGAATTCGAATTCGAATCAAGCTCGAACTCGAATTCGAATCAAGCTCATCCATCGAAATTTATGAAACTTTAGGGTGTCTTTTATCAATTATAAAACTTAAAGGCGTTCTCTTAATTTTAAAAAACTAAAGGGATGCACCTCAAGCTTCATCATCAAAAAGACAGTTACAAATTTCATTTATCTCTCTCTCTTTTTATAACATCTCTTCATCTTTCTTTTAATATCTCTCTTTTAATGTGAGACAATTTTACTAAGACTTTTTATAGTTTTTTCTTTGTCTTTTTTAATTATGATTTTAATAGAAAAAATTATTGATTAATTTTTATAGTTAAAAATGTACAATATTTTTCAAATATTTAAAAATATAAGATATTTTTATTACATTATATTATACATTTTATATTATAAAGCCGATTATATTTTTAAAAACTAATTATATATAAAAAAAATCAAGTATCTCACGAGCTATTTGAGTCGAGTTTTGATCAAGTTGATCTCAAGTAGCTTGCGAGTTGTCTCGTATCATTTACACCTCAAACTGCAATATTCTCTGTCTAAACTTTTTTTTTTGAAGTATATAAATATTTATATATGACAAATTAAACTCATCATCCTCACATTTGATGAGTCTTGAACCCTTTATCTCAGAAGGCAGGGTCACTAGATACTGTTATGCCACTCGTAATAGTGCAACTTCTGACATTACCCGAAAGACATACAGTCGGTATTTTCCAAAACTTTCAAACGTTTAGCTAAAGCTCCTCTATATTTAATGTTTTTGCTTCAAATAAAACGATTCTTGTGGATATGAATAGATACTACAAACATCATGTTATAACAAACCGTGTTTCGTTAATTTGTATAAATTGTGTTAAGTGAACTTTGGGTAGGACTGTGCATAACGTGTTTGTATCATATGCTTAACCGACTTGTACCTCAGACTAAATTGTGACGGATTACCATACAAGATGCCACACACGCACAAAATAAAACTAAACTTAAAATAAAATGTCGAGTCGAAGTCCTATTACAGTACAAAGTTGAGAAACTAGACTTGAGGGGCCAAATGGAAAATTTGAAAATATAAATACCCTAAAATCATAGGAAAAAGAAAACTCTAATACGTATTATTTTTTGTCTCTTGTTTTCTCAAGAACCTCCGTAGGTGAAGTAAAATCAAGTCAAGATATCATCAGTTGGTTGAAGGTTTGGAAGATTAAAGCTTAAAAACTCAAGGTATGTGTATAATTTCTAAGCTTTCTTAAGTTGAAATTCTGATTAGGTTAATGCTTCAATACATGGGTTCGAGATTCTGTTTAGGCTTGAAATTGTAAGGAGATTGAAGATATTCGAGCTTGTTTGAAGTTGAAATCATCATTGGAATCAAAATATGTTAATCTCTTGGTAGAAACTGAGGTTTTAGTTAATTTTAGGTCTCACATACTGAATTGTATATATGAGGTTAAAGTGTCTTGATTTTATGCTTAGAAGGTCAATTAGAATGAAGATAAACATTGGTGTTATTAGCAAATAGAATGGAATAGTGAATGTTTTGGTTGTAAAATTCGAAGCTGTGTGCAGGGGAGGATCTGCAATTATAGCTTGTTTGCAAAATTTCGTATAAAATCATTCGTTGGTCCAAATTAGATGTGTAATATATCGTTGGAAAGCTTGAAATGTCTACTATATCTTTGTAGTTTACACGAAGAGCTGATTCTAAATCTAAATAGCTCAAAATCTTGAGTTTCTAGAACTGGTCATATAGAACTCGGCAATTGCACTCTTTTTTAAAACAAATTCATAGAAAATTGGCCATTGCTCCAAATCAGGTGAATTTTTGTGCTATTAGATTCCTAAGGTTGTTGCCTCTTAAAATGTGTAAAACATCAAAAATTTAGAGGTTCAAAAGTTGATATGTGCAGTAATTTGAGTTGCAGTTGTTGTTTGTACCTTGTGTATGTCCGGCTTGTACCATTTGAGGAACCTATACAAATCAAACCTGAATATATCTAGGACTATTATAGATGTAAGAAGAAGTAGAAACAAGGGTCTAAGTCTTATATACTCAAGTATATATGTTGGTTAAGTAAGTGGTAATGGATTAATTGTTTATGTAAAGGTGACTTTGGTGATTGGTATCAACACTAAGGACATCCTAAACCCGTGGTATTCCATCAACCACTATTCAGGTTCGGAGATCATACCTCATTTGATACGGGGATAGCCATTTGCATAAGGCTTCCTAATCCGGATGATCTGTGATAAATTCCGAATAATTGGTTCCAAATTTTCTTTATGCTTATTAAATGTTATGAACCTTGTTTTCTTTTGAACTATGATTTATATTCTTATTTGGAACATGAATCACTTGATCGGTTGACTTGTTAGATTGTATCTATTGTGAACTCTTACTATAAACTCAAGATGGGGAGCACCGGTATTGAGATGCTTCCATGGTGGCTAAAATTATCATGACGTCCTCAATTATATATAGTCCTTAAAAGCGGACTTGATAAGATACCGGTCAATTAGAGGGCATATGGATCGATCCTAGGAACCGTTATCGGATTGTTATGTTGTGCTCACACCTCTTTCTTCACTCATGCCCAAATGGACTGATCATCCTTTGGGAACAACGCGTCCTTGTGATGCTGTTTGGTCTTTCGAATCTTTGATATGCCTTCGGGGCATTTTGACTTTCTTTTGGATTATCACTTAACGTTATGAATTGTTTTTGAGCTTGTTATCTCATATTCATGGTTTAGTTATTATTATCTGTTCACTGAGCATTAAGCTCAACCGAGATTTTCTTTGTCCTCAACAGGTACATGACTTAGTAGAGATTTTGGGATGAGAGTTATGAAGATGACAATACTGAAGATAACTTATTAGGACATAACCTATTGGGACATACTTTTGTTAAATTTTTGATGAATAATGTAGATATACTTGTATTTTGGGACCATATTTTGATACATGTTATCTCCGTTTATGGTTATGAATTTATCTTTTCGTAAATTATATTAGTTGCGTTGTTTTATATAATGCGTTGAATTGTATTTCTTTTAAACCAATTGTGGCGTCTTCCGTCTTTAACTATGCTATACAGGGGTGTTACAAGTTGTTGTATCAGTGTTACAGGTCATGATTCTATGGTACAATTTAGGTTTGATCTGTGAAAAATGGGTAGAACTAAGATAGGATTGTCCTAGGCTATATGCATGTTAATTATTTGAAATCTTGTATGTTCCGTTTCTTATTAAATCTAACCAAGCAAATGGCTTCCCTGTTATTTGTGTTAGTTCTAAACGCTGCCAAGAGAACTACTGGCAATAACGGTAGACCTAGGAGAAACTGAACTGGGTCAAAAAATGAAACAAATCCTCCGCAAACCATTCAACTTGATCCTAATGTGATGACAGCTGTCCACCAAATAGTTAGCGAGATGCTACCGGTATTATAGCACAGACAATGGAAGCATTACGTCAGACTGGCTGTAATAACGCGGTCACATTACTGACCATTTTATCGTTTAGGGGGCATCTGGTTCGTCGGAATCCGTCGGAATCGGATGGAATTGGAATGGTAATTCCGTTGACCAAATTTCATTCTAACATTTGGTTGCCCATGGAATGGAATTGAATTCCAAAGATTCCCAAATTTGAGGAATTCACCATTCCTTAGTAGATCTGACGGAATTGAAATCCATTCCATCCAAAAATGTTTAAATGACAAAAATACCCTCATTCCTCTTTTAAACCCTAGCCGATGTTTTCTTTCATCGAAGCTTGAACGCCTGCTTTCATCGAAGCTTGAACGCTTGCTTTCATCGTTGCATACTGCTTCTTTCATCGATCGAACTTCGAACGCTTTCTGCTTACTTTCATCGTTGCATGTTGCTTGCTTTCATAGATCAAAGGTCGGTTTTCTCATCTACGAACCGGTTTTCTCAAACCTGAACCCGTTAATTGCTTCGATTTCTCAAACCAAAACATGTTTACTGCTACGATTTATGATTTACAAACCTGTGTACTGCTACGATTTTTTATTTCTCCATGAATATGTTATTTCTGCTTCCATTTCTAATTTATCAAACATGAACCTGTTTACTGCTTTCATTTCTTATTTCTCATCTACAAACCTGTTATTTATGCTTCTATGAACTGCTTCTACTTCTATTATGCTTCTATGAAAAGAAGGTGGTTGGAATGTTTTTTTTTTTAAACTAATGTTGAGTAGAGATGGCCAAATGGGCCCGGCCCGGCCCGTAACCGTCGGAGGACCGGAACCGGACCGGAGAGGGACCAAAACCGGCCCGGGACCGGTATGGACCGATTGTGGACCGCCAGTTATGAACCGGTTATGGATTTTAACGTTTTCTAGGACCGAGACCGGTTAAGATCGGAACCGGTTATGTAACCGTTTATAGGACCGGCCTGGCCCGGCCCGGTCAACAAAAGTCAATGTGTATATATATATAACAAAACGTATTTATAAAATTAAAAGTATATATACATATATATATATATATATAACAAAACATATTTTTAAACGTATTTATAAAATTAAACGTATATATATATATATATATATATATATATATATAACAAAACATATTTTTAAACGTATTTATATAAAACATATTAAAAATAACATATTAAAAATTTATTAATAAACAGAAATTTGAAAAAAAATATATTTTTTTTTGGTCAGGACCGGATGGGACCGGATTCCTTAACCGGTTACCGGTAAGCTTGACCGATTACAAGGTATTTCACGAAACCGGGACCGATTATGGCACAACCGGTTACCACCGGTTTTTGTCTTGATTAGGACCGGTAGGGACCGGTTAAGGACCGAACCAAGACCGAATTTTGACCATCTCTAAATTGTTGAGTATGTAGTTGTAAATGTTGTAAGAAATGGATAAAGTTTGTGTAATAAATATGACTTAGATGATTTTAATCCATACTTGTGGGACCCATAAATTCCTCTTCATATCACATATTTTTCCTATTTCAAAATAGGTGTTCATATTTTTATTACAGTTTGTCTCAAAATAAATGTTTATTTTCAAAAATAAATATCTATTTACTAATTCTATCTTTAATAAATGGTTATTCGTTGTTTAATTAATAAAAAAAGGTTCAATAATTACATATTTCTAGAACTGTGTGTGAGTTTATGTTTGCATTCATTTTGGGAAGAGGAAGTATATAGTAGTCCACAAAATTTCACCTTATGAGGTGTCATCACTATACTGGTTAAGAACCATCATGGAGGAGGTAAATAGTATCTCCCAAATGTATGTGGGTGGTAGAGATGACCAAAAATCGGTCCTGGATCAGGCCGATCTCAAATTGGTCTCAGTCCTGGTCCCAAACACTACTCCATAATTGGTCCTGGCATAGCCGGTTTCAGTCTCAAAACCGAGGCCCGGTTAAGGTAACCGGTTATGAGGACCAGTCCCGGGCCCAAATCGGTCCTATGTATTTTTTTTTTTAAAAATCGATTTTTTACATGATTTTCTTTTTTTGAAGTTTTTTAAAGAATACAAAAATGTTATTCTAATACACTTGAAAATATGTAAAGTTAATTAAATACACATAAAATATACGTGTTTTTTGGTGAGAATACGAGCCGAAATCACGAATTATAACAAGAATTGTAAACGTTTGTGAGTTGGTATCTTCCCCATACACCATATGAATTATATATATAGAATAGAGGGTAAATGAGACAAAAAAGGGTCAAAAATGAAGAAAAAAAATGGTCATACAGCCATTGGGTATCGACAATAAAACAATAATATTTTCAAAAAATCAGGTCGGACCCATAACCGGTCCCAGACCAGGCTGGGCCGTCTACTTTGTTGAAAAATGTAACCAGGCTTGGACCACCGGTCCAAGTCGATCCCAGGCCGGGCGGTCCCGATTAGGTCCTCCACCGGGCCGAACCCATTTGGCCACCTCTAGTGGGTGGTGTCTCGATTCGAATTCCAAACATTCCACCCCATTTTCAAAAAATGCACATCTTCTTATCCACTAAGGGTTGTTTACCAAATGCTTATCCGGTAAGTATTTACTAACTCACTTTATCTTACCGATGAACATGTCAACGACTAAAAATCTTAACCGGTAAGAACGATAACAAGGACTGAGAGTCTTATCCGATAAGCAAAGGTGACAAACTCTTACCTGGTTATCGCTTACCGGGTAATTTATTGCATACAATCCGTTTTAATAGACTATAATCATATCCAGTAAAATAAATAACAGTGTTGAATGTTATCATGACAGCTATCTGAACCCTAAATTTTAATCATTTGAGAATGTTTTTTTTTTGAAAAGATATAATATTTATATACGAAAATAAACTCATATACCTTTCTTACGAGTGGGTACGTTTGAATCGTTGACCTTCTAAAACGTTGGACTCTACCAACAACCTTTGACGATGTTTCTTTAAATCCGACACCCTTTTTAAAGATGATTACCTTTGGTTATTTGCGTTCAACCTTTGTTAAGAGTCGAAACAAAAACGACAGACATTGATTATGCGTGTTACACAAATTTCCTTTTAAGACAAAAACATTTGACTTCTACCCTTTGTTCTATTATGGGGTTGTTTACGGCCTGTTATTCTCGATCTTTCCCACATTCTTTCAGTAAGATAAATAACCTGTTAAACACTTACAAAAAAAAAACATTTATTAAACAACCCTAAATTTCAATTGTGTAAGTGTATAATTCATCTAATTCTTTTTTATTCTAAACCAGAAGGATACTCATGCAATGCAGCGAGATACATCTTCATTTTAATGTTTCGTTTTTTTTTTTTGTCTTTGTTGATATAACAAGGTTTATGTGGTTTTGAGAAAGATAATGTTTTTACTTTTGAATGAAAATAAATTTAAATATATCATAAAAGTTTAAAAAAATATATCGATGTTAATATCAAATTAACTATTTAAAAGTTATCGTTTCTTTGTACAATTTTTTAGATAATTTGTTATTATAATTTAATTTAGGTTTAATAACGAAATATTTTATTTTTGGCTTAATAATATAGCTTTTATAAAGATAATGATTCTGTTAGAACTCAATCATTATCCTAATTATATTTTAAATTTTTTATGTTTAAAATGAGATATTTATTATGTATGTGATTATGTTTTTTTGCAGTTAGTTATACGAATTCAAAAATGAAACTTTAATAAGTTATGCTTACGCATAATTTACTTGTAATCTTAAATTTTAAATAATATGCATTAACAAACATTACTTCATATATAAATAATAGTTTTTAAGAGTTTTTATCAAATACTTTAGAATATAGTATATATAAAAAATTAATTTATATGTTTTTTTTAGAAAACTCAATTTAATGATTACGGAGTTCGATACAAACCCTTTTTAGAGAATGGGGGTATCCCGATAAAATCGTCATTTCATTTTCTCCCCTGAAAATCTCGAGACGAATATTAGCTTTCAGCCCTTGTACTTTGAACAAGTAGACATTTCAGTCCCTGGAGTATCAATTGCTATTATAATCCTCCTTTTTTTTCCTTTTAATTTTTCGTTGAAAGATAACAATAGTGGAGTATTAAACAAACGAAGAGAGTAAAACGTTGACCGCTATTACAAGAAACAGATACATAAACAAATAAACGGAAAACAGCAACTTACAAAAGTACCATTTTTTATCTTTTAAATTGATGAACAAAATCTGTATTAACCCAAAAATCAGATAGATACATATGTAATATAAAATAACCAACAACAAAATACTGTTAGATTAACGCATTTTTAAGGTTATTTTTCAAAAATTCAATAATTATTATAGAATATTATGAATCTTGATTTTAAAGTATGATTAAAAAGATACTTCAAATACTTCATTGTTGGCCAAAATTTTGCTACCTTAAAATAAATGTCCACAATTGAAATTGCACATAGTTTTAGACATGTATGATTATTATATTTTTTTAAAGTATATAATATTTATATACGATAAATGTAACAAATAAACTCACACATATTTCTCACTTTTTATGACGTCATGATCTCTTAGAAGGCCAGAGACAATGATACTGCTAAGCCAAAGGTCATTTGGTTAACTATTACATTTTTTTGTTAATAAAATAACAATCTTATCCTTATTTAATTTCTCACTCTTCACAAATCATAATTTTTATACATTAATTAAGGATAATTTGAAAATACAATTATCTACCTTTAAAAATAGACACTTATTTCAGAACAAATATAAACATTTATTTTGAGATTAAAGAAGTAAATAATTAATCAAATTAAATATTGTATTTATTTATAAAATAAAGAATGCATTTATTAAGATAATAAAAGAATTATTATAAATGAATACTTTAATTACAAGGACCACAAAAACATGCTTTTCAATGAACAATCAAGATTCAAGAATAGGGTTTGATTAATCTATAGGCTTTGAAATTAAACTCAATCATAACATTTATACTTTTTATATAATATATATATATATATATATATATATATATATAAAGAGAGAGAGAGAGAGAAATAGATGATATATTTCAAATGTAATTATGTCCATTTGTATAACCAAACTAATTGAGAAATTTATGGAAATGATGAGAATACATTAATTATGATTTGAATATTTATAGAAGATAGACTAGAGTTAATTGATTATGATTAATACTTTATATTATAAAACAATCAATTTTTTTATGAAATCACATATTTATCAAATTAATGAATGATTGAGACTGAATTGCATTAGTTGTACAGATATAAAAATGTTGTATAATAACTCAACTCCATATATATATATATATATATATATATATCACATAATTATTTATTTATTTAAGAAAAATAATAAATTAAAATTCCTAGATTTACTGATGGATCAAGTACAAGTTGGAACAAGAGTTGACCTCAAATGGAAAGCAAAGCAAAGCAAACCCCATCCATGGAGATCAAAATTGAAAGCAAACCCTCTTCTTATTTTTCTTGATAAAATCTCCCCTTCTTCTTTCTCTCTCTCTCTCTCTAGAATCCATAGCTGTTTTCCCTTCACAGGATCTGTTGATTTCTTTAATGGGGTTTCTCTTTTATACAAATAAAATACAACAAAACAAATAGTCTCTCTCTCCTCTCTCTCTATCTGCCATACCTCACTCATTCCCCACTTGTGTTTTATATCATTTCCACACTCAATTTGGTAATTTTGATCCCATTTTCAGCTCAAGAAGAAAGCTAATAAGCAGCAGCCTTTCTTTTCTCTTTTCGAAGGAAACGTTAAACATTGGTTACGAGTAGGTAAGATTTCTATAGTTTTTGAGTTCTTATTTGGGATTTCTGTAATGATTGAAATGCAAAAAGAGGCTTTATATGTGATTTTTTGTAGGATTTGCGATTTGGGTTTTTTTTCATATTGGTGGGAATGTAAATGGGTTCTCTTAGTCTGGTGTTGCCGATTAAAAGAGACCCATCATTTAAAGTTTCACCAAGAAATGAAAAGAATAACAACAATTCGTATGTGCAAAGACCCAGATCAAGATTTGGGAGGTTTATGGTATTCAAGAAGATAGATTACTTGCAATGGATTTCTGCAATTGCTGTGTTCATCTTCTTTATGTTTTTGTTCCAATTGTTCTTGCCTCTTTCCATGGTGGAAAAAACTGATGGGGATTTCTTGAAAGGAAGGGAGGAGGATGATGGTTCTGGTGGGAATTTGAAGAATTTGTTGAAAGAAATTGGTGGTTTGGATTTTGGTGAAGATGTTAAGTTTGTGCCCACCAAGTTTTTGATTAAATTCCAAAGAGAAAAAGGAGTTGTTAATAATGTTACTTTTGATGGTTCAAGAACAGTAATGAGATTTGGGAATAGAAAGCCTCAGCTTGCTTTGGTGAGTATTTTGATAGTAATTTTTTGAGTTCTTTTTATTGATTTTGGAAGTCCCATTTTGGTTAATTTGTGCTTTATTGAGTTAAGCTTATTGGAAGCAATCTTGATCTTAATAGCCTTCCTATTCGGGTTTATTTTCGGTTTCAGTCAGCTTTTATTAGCTTCTATTTTAGGTTTTTGCAGATTTGTTGGTTGATCCACAGCAGATAATGATGGTCACAGTTGCAGTTGCTTTGAGGGCAGTTGGCTATGAATTGGAGGTGCTCTCTTAATCTTGGCTGTTTCATTAAAATTGGGGATGCTTTTCTTTTATGAATTATATATACGAGGAAAGTTCAATTCCAAACATTTTTACCATTGTGGACCGGGGACAAAGGAGAGCACGACGCCTGTCCCCAGTTGTCCACATCCATCATGAATAATTAACGTGAATATTTGTGATGAATGTTTACACTACTCATGATGAATAACCCATGAATGTCTGGAACACGTAGCGCACTCTCCTTTGTCCCGCGGTTCACAATGTAAGTTAGGTTTTCAATCGAACCGGCCCCTATACATACATGTATATATATAGGGTCAGTTCAGGGGAAAACCACAAAGAAAATGAAAAATTGAGAAACGCCCTAGTAACCATTCATCTTCAGTTACTTGTATGCACATGTGCATACTATACAAATGAATGGTATTAGGGTGTTTCTCATTTTCTGGAGAGTTTTCTCTCTCTCTCTTTATATATATATATATATATATATATATATATATATATATATATACTCTTCTGAGTACAGTTTGCTACATTTTCTCCCATTTTATGTTTATGTGACTTGCCAGAAACGAGCCTACAATGGAAGATCAAGTAATGTGATCATTTAGGCATTCAAGGAATTGGCTTTTAGTGATCATTTAGACAACTTTGGTTGAGTTAAGGGAATGTTTCTTATGAGGAAATTGAGTACTTTCCTTAGCGGAGAATGAGTGTTGTTAAATAGGTGTTAGAAAGCTGTTTCAATCACCGGCATCATTCACTTCTTGTGCAGATTTACTCACTTGAGGATGGGCCTGTGCGTGATATTTGGAAAACTATTGGAGTTCCTGTCAACATTGTGGATGCCAACGATAAAATGGGCAATATGATCGACTGGTTAAAGTATGTTTGTTGCTTATGTAATTATATATATATATATATATATAGAGAGAGAGAGAGAGAGGGGGGAAGGTTCAGGGGAAACCCCCAAAAAATGAAAAATGGAGGAACACCCTAATAACCGTTCATCTGTACAGTATGCACATGTGCGTATGAGTAATTAAAGATGTTTCTTGTTTTATATGCACGTGTGCATACCAGAAAAAATACTTACAAATTACTTGTATGCACAGGTGCATATCGTACAAATGAATGGTTAGCAAAGTGTTCCTGGGTTTTTCATTTTTTTTACAGTTTTCCCTTAACCTAACCCTACATATAAAATGTTTCTTAGTTTCTTATAAAAGATTATGATGGAATGTTTTTCTTTTTATTTTAAATAAACTTGGATTGTGTCTTTAGTAAATACACCAAAGGACTAATAAATTTCACTCATTTTACCATGGATGGTTCTGTTCAGTTCTGCCCAACACCTGAAACCATAGAACCACGAGCAAGACCAATCCGGTTAGTTTAAAACAATTGAACTTAGAAGAAACGGGATATGGTGCTTTGGATGTTTCGGACTTGCACCGCTACTATTTCCTTGGAATTTGGTCTTTATCTACTGAATAGTGGACATTATTTTCTTGTTCTGAGTCGTGAAACAAATGAAATATGATGGTGTATTAACTTCGAAATTTGACAATTTAATGGTTTTGTATGTTTTTTATAGCTATGACGGCATACTCGTGAACTCTCTTGCAGCAAAGGATATCATTTCATGGTAAGTGGACATATCTAGTCTGAAAACTTTAGCGATTTGTGGTGGTTGTTTTCGGTTTTGGCCATTATTTCACTAGTTGTTACAGCCTTTCGCAGGAACCTTTTAAATCCGTGCCTCTTATATGGGCTGTCCATGAAAAAGCTCTCGCTACTCGTGCCACAAGATACATCTGGGGTGGCCAAGTTGAGCTAATTGATGAGTGGAAAACAATCTTTAATCGAGCAACCGTTGTTGTCTTTCCAAACTACGCCTTACCGGTATATATATCTATATCTATCTGTCAATGCGTTCTTTGTACTTATGATGAGTTTTTTCCATCACTCCTCGTATTTCTCGTATTCATTAGGCCATTCAACATTTTGATTTTGTGGGTCCTATTTATATGATATGATGATAATGAAAACTTGATTGTAGACCCCGTAAATGAAGATGGGACCCGCAAAGTGGAGAATGAAAACTTGATTATAGACCCATTCGACGTTTTGATTTTGTGGGTCCTATTTTTCAGATGTTTTATGCTGCATTTGATGCTGGAAACTACTTTGTGGTACCGGGATCTACTTCTGGAGCTTGCAAAATTGATAACTCGACTATCATTTATGAAGAAAATTTGCGTGAAAATATGAACATCTCGAATGACGAGTTTGTTGTTGCGATTGTGGGTAGTGAGTTTTTATACAACGGAATATGGTTGGAGCATGCTCTTGTTTTACAGGCGTTATTGCCACTTTTGACCAAGTTTCGTGTTGGTGATAGTTTAAGTCCTCATCTCAAGATCGTAATCTTGAGTCGAGATTTAACGGGTAATTACAGTGCGGCCATGGAGGTAAAGATGTTTTGTTAAATTCCGTTTTCTTTGCTCCCTCCTTCCTATAACATTATATTTAACAAGTCTTGATGTTAAAGTTACATATTTGCCCTTTGCCATCATTGCAAAAGTTAAGTTTTGTTAGTTTAAGCATTTGAAAAAATATAGGCGAATTGTTGCATTTTTCATGGGACAGATGAAGTACATGATATGCCTTTTAACTAACTAAATGGCGACTTTACCCTTGATAATAGAGGGAGTAATTAGTTTCTCCATCTCATAATTAAGGGTAAAATTGGAAACTAGACACTTATATTAGGACGGAGGGAGTATTTGGTTTTTACGTCTAATTGATTCATGCCAACTTGATGTCAATGTTCTTTCTCACAGGAAATTGCTTCAAACCTTAATTACCCAAGGGGTACTGTGAATCATGCTTCCATTGATGAAGACGATGGCATTCTGGGAATAACGGATCTTGTAATATACGGGTCATTCCTCGAAGAACAATCTTTTCCCGACATTCTGATAAGGGCGATGTGCCTAGAGAAACCAATAATATCCCCTGATCTATCGATAATCAAGAAATACGTATGCTACAACATTGATCATTGTGGGTTTTAATTAGCTAAATGACAAGTTTACCCTTGATAATAAAGGGTGTAACGAATCTTTCTTCATCTTATTGAGGGTAGAATTGGAAAGTAGTTTGTTTGACTTCAGATGTCAAACTATGAAAGCTAATAGTTTGATAGTTTGACTTCAGGTTGATGACGGGGTGAACGGCCTTCTTTTTCCGAAGGAAAAGATGGAGGCTTTAACGGAAATAATGCTGCAAGTGGTGTCTGATGGAAAGCTATCAACTTCAGCTCAGAATATTGCAAAAAAGGGCAAAAATAGTGCTAAAAACATGATGGCACTGGAATCGGTTGAAGGGTATGTTTCATTGATAGAAAACATCTTGAACCTTCCTTCGGAAGTTGCATCTCCAAAGGCAGTATCGGAAATTCCTTCTAACATCAAAACAGAGTGGCAATGGCATCTTTTTGAAGCTATTACAGATCGTAAATATGTAAATAGAACTTCAAGGGTTCAAGATTTCTTGAACAAAGTTGAGAATCGATGGAACCGTACTTTAAAAGAAGAAAGCTCGGGGACTATTCCTGCCAACGATACCTTTGTGTACAGTTTATGGGAAGAAGAAAAAAGAAACCAGATTATGAAAGCCAAAAAGACAAGAGAAGACGATGAGGTAATGGAAAAAGTATCAAAAGGACTAATTTACCCTTGCTATTCGTTGCAAATAATTGATTATTGATTTGATCCACATGATTACTCTATTTGGAGATATAGAAGATCAAAAGGACTAATTTACCCTTGCAAATACTTGACTCTTTAGATCCGGAGTTGGGTCCTTTGGTTAAATGACCTTTTTCCCGTTTCTTTTTAAATCCATGACCTTCCTGAAAGGTTTGAGAATGTCACTGCTTAACAGAAGAATGTCGCATTCATACACAAGAATGCTCAGAAACCTGTTAAAAGGTCGTGGATTTATAAAAAGCACTTGTCCAGATGCCATTTAGCTAAATAATGGATTAATGGTATATTTAGGTAGGCGAAGGATCATGTGAGAAGGGAAGTTATAGTGAGAATCGTAAGAAGAATCTGAACGCTTGATCACTTTTAATCTCATGCCCATCCATGAATTGTCTTTGGAAGGGAATTGATCTGGTGCATCTTGGTGCACCTCATTAGTGTTGACATTCAATTAGGATTGATCCAAGGGTGGAGATCTCTTCTTATGCTTCCCATCATAACTTTCTTTCTCACCAGACCCAACCCTATATATATATATATGTATCCTTAAATGGGATTTTAATTAAATTCATGACCTTTTGATGAGTATGAAAACGGTTTTTCTTTAATTTGAGGTTTTGATATTTGTTTTAAATTTTATGTAGTTGAGGGATAGAAGTGATCAATCGAGGGGAACATGGGAGGAAGTATATAAAAATGCGAAAAAAGCCGACCGGAACAAGAATGATTTGCATGAGAGGGATGATGGGGAACTCGAAAGGACGGGTCAACCATTATGCATCTATGAACCGTACTTTGGTCAAGGATCTTGGCCTTTTCTACATCGTAATTCACTTTATCGTGGTATTGGACTTGTAAGTTGCTTCACCTTTATTGCAAATAATTTAAATTGTTCATATTTTGATGCTAGATTTAACCATCTTTAGGCCATTTTGAAGGTAAACCGATCCATTATAAGCTTACATTTATCAATTGTTGATATTGTAGTCCACGAAAGGTCGAAGATCGAGAAGAGATGACATTGATGCTCCTTCTCGTCTTCCTCTTCTCAACACGCCTTACTATCGGGATACCCTTGGTGATTTTGGAGCGTTTCTAGCTGTTGCTAATCGTGTTGATCGGATACACAAGAACGCTTGGATCGGGTTTTTGTCGTGGCGAGCTACAGCTAGGAAGGCAAGTGAATTTCTTCGATACCTTCTCTTTAACTCGGGTTATTTCGCTAAATGGATCTTAAATGAATTCTCAAATTAAGAACATAGGCTTTTAAAAAATTAACTCGACAACATTCAAATGATCCGCCCTGTGGAAAAAACACTAGAAAACGGTCTTTTAGTAAATAACCTTAAATAAGTTTTCTACGAGGAGCATGACCGTATAATTTTTTAGCTCAATGACCTTCATCTGACATGCCTTTGAGCAAACGGTTATTTTTATACCAAGAAAAATGTTGATTTTTTTTGTATTTTTCGACAAAAGCAGGAATCTTTATCGCAAAATGCCGAGATTGCTTTATTAGAAGACATTGAAGCTCAGAAACACGGTGATGCCGTCTATTTTTGGGTTCGTATGGATAAAGATCCAAGAAACCCGACCCGACAGGGTTTCTGGTCGTTTTGTGATGCTATAAATGCCGGTAATTGCAAGTAAGGCTCTACTACTTTTACTTCTCCATTTTGAAGAAATTATAGAAAATCTGTTGGAGATGTGAAATAAAAAACGAAAATTACAAAAAGTTGATGTATTTTTTGTGCTAGGTTTGCATTCTCGGAAGCTCTCAAGAAAATGTACGGGATAAAAGGTAACTCGACCGTTCTCCCTCCAATGCCCGTAGATGGAGACACATGGTCGGTCATGCATAGCTGGGCTATGCCAACGAAATCCTTCCTCGAGTTTGTGATGTTCTCAAGGTCCGTGGATTCTTTTCGGTTATTGAATTTTATACAAAGAATGGGATCATAGAAAGCAATGAAAGGGTTTCGGTTTTTAACTTCTGTAACGATATTTGCAGGATGTTTGTGGACGCGTTGGATGCACAAGTTTATGACGAGCATCATCGAAGTGGTCTGTGCTACCTAAGTTTGTCTAAGGTGAGCTTTTCTCTGAGGAAATTATTGCATCTATTTGGTGGACAAATACGCACAAAAAGGGAGGTTCTTGAGTTCCTAAAATATTCAAGAATGGGAAAAATGAAAAACTGAGGAACACCATGGTAACCATTCATCTAGACGATATGCACATTTAATTGAAGTTGTTTCTTGGATTTTATGCACGTGTGCATGTTATGCACATGTGCACACCGGATAAATTGCTTAAACATACTTGTATGTATATGTGCATACCGTCCAGATGAACAGTTACCAGAGTGTTCCTCAGTTTTTCACTTTTTTGCGGTTTTCCCTAACATGATCCTATCTATCTATATATGTATGTATATGTTTTGTTATTTAATTTGATTGTCCCAATTCTCTTGTTGTAAACATTTGTGATACGACCACTTACTTTACGGATCAGCTGAACCAAACAGGATTCGAGTATCGAGAATGGACCGAGATTGTGGGTTCGAGCTGATCGTCTCGGTCCATTCCTGGGTCTTGCCTGGTTCATCTCATCCCTATAATTAGTGGTCGTATCGATTGGGTTCGATCCTAAACATTTCATGTTAATCCTTGATTTTGGATGTTTTGTACGTTTTTAAAGGTAAAATACTTTAGGCCCGTTTGCCCGTGGACAAAAAAATAGATTGGGTCTGGTCCGTGTCCATCTCAAACCTGCAAATGATCACCTCTAAGCTGTAAAATACTATCCACTTTGTTCCAAGACTACAATGATAACGAGCTTCAATTCCGTATGTTCCGATCATTTTTTATTTTTTTATACGGGTTTCTTTGCAGGACAAGCATTGCTACTCGCGGATTCTCGAGATTCTTGTAAACGTGTGGGCATACCATAGCGCGAGAAGAATCGTGTACATAAATCCAAACACGGGAACGATGCAAGAACAGCACACGTTGAAGAAACGAAAAGGCAAAATGTGGGTAAAATGGTTCGATTACAACACCCTGAAGGCAATGGACGAAGATCTGGCAGAAGAGGCGGACTCGGAGGCGGTGGGAAGGCGGTGGTTATGGCCGTCAACCGGAGAGGTGTTCTGGCAAGGGATCTACGAGAAAGAAAGGATTCAATGGCGAAAAGAACGAGAAACGAAGAAGCAAAAAACACGAGCCAAGATTCTGAGGATCAAGAACCGGACTCACCAGAAAGTGATCGGAAAGTACGTGAAACCACCGCCGGAAAATGCGACAGTGGCGGTGGCAAGGGTTTACCGGTGACCCTTGATATAGGTAGTGTATTAGTTGTAGTTTGATTTCTTCAATTTTTTTTGTGAAAAATTCACTTGTTTTTGGTGGATAAAAGATGAGATGCATAGAGGGTTTTTTGTATGTAATGGCATCTTTTTGATGATTGATGGTTTGCTGATGCTAATTTCACCAAAGTTTCCAATTTGTTTTTTTTTTCCCATTAATTTGTTAATAATTTTGATAAAAATTCAGTGGCTACAATTGTTGTAAATGTTTGGAATTGAACCCAGTTTGGATGAGATATTCCACCACATCCTTTTAGGTTTCAACCACTAAGCTACAACCCTTGTGGTTTTCGGTTTTCAGTTAGGGACTAAAACAACAATAAATTATAAATCATAAGAACAAAACAATGAATTACAAACCATAAGAATGAAACACTTATCCGATAAGTGTTTATCGATAAATTTTAACACTATTATTTATTTATCGGGTAAAATTTTATTTCACCAAAACCGTATACAACAATTTATCCGGTAAGCGCCACCCTCATTTACAAGATAAAGCTTTTGGTCTTTTTCTTGCTCTTACCGCATAAGATTTGATGCTACTTACCATATTAATTCAATGAGATAACATAACTTAATAAACGTTTACTTGGATTAATTGTTTGGTAAATAACACGTTTGGAAATTGCGATGGGCTAGTTATAATTTGGGCTCAATATGGGCTTTATGTCTATTGGGCCACGTCATCTGTTAAAATATCTCTTATATATACACGTGGCAAGAAACGTCGAGACAGTTCCGTTGGTAAAAGAAGCGCGAGAAAGATCTCGAAAACCGTAGAGAACAACCACACTATAAATAATAGTGCTTTCATGGAGGTTATCATCTTACGAAAGCGAATTAAAAGCGAGCAAAGAACAAGCAAAAAGCAGTTTCAGGATATTCTATTGGGTTGGTGGATCGAGATTGAGCCGATATCTAAGTTTTCTGGAGTTGTGGAACTAATTTTGGGGGATTTTACTTCGTAACTACTGTTGTTGTAAGTCGATTTCATCTATTTTTCTAATTTCATTTGTACTGGTTTTTGTATCTGGAAATCGGATTGTGATGGTTATTTTATGGTGTATGCGGAAGATATTGTTGGTGTAGATCTATTTTTCCTGTTTAATAGTGTTTCGGAGAGGATTGTGATCATTATATTATTGTTTATGCAAGATATATTGTTTGCTTTAGTCTCTTACTCTAATTTCACAGTTACGTTTTTTGTTCCACAGACCGGATTGCAGTCGTTAGTCACTGGTATTTGTGATTGTTGATTTTTAATTGGATTTTGCATTTGCTTTTGTTATTTCTGGATCATTGTTGTTTGTGGACTATCATTGTAAATCAGTACTGGTTGTTGTTCCAGAGATCGAATTGCAATCGTTAGTTACCAGTATCTGTGATTGTTGTTTTTAATTGGATTTTGCATTTGGTTTTGTTTGTTTTCTGGATCGTTGTTGTTTGTGGACTATCATTGTAAATCAGTACTGGTTTTTGTTCCAGAGATAGAATTGCAGCAGTTAGTTACTGGTATCTGTGGTTTCGTTATTTTCTGGATCATTGTTGTTTGTGGACTGTCTTTGCAAACCGTGGTTTACTGTTTTAGATGGATTACTGTAGATCTGATGATGAATGCAGCTTATTATGGATTTTGCGTGGTTTGGAATTAGAATTAGAATTGGAGTAGTTGTTTTTCTTCAAAATTTTAGTTAATTTTGTGCTTGTTAGGCCCCAGTTGATGTGCCTTTTTGTGTTCTGTTGCTTAAAATCGGCTAATCTTTGGTTATTGACTTCAGGTGTTAACCGCTCTCGTAACTTCTTAAATCCGCTAGTCATATTTGTTCGACAAAGCCCGTGAAAATGTATCCTGCTTACAGGTGGGGAGGCTCATACCCCTATCATGCTAATCCAATGCATAACGTTCCAAATGATGATCCAAGAGCTAAAGAGATTTCATCTCATATGAAGATGGATCCTAGCACCATGAGTCCACCATATGAACCTTGGCCTTATGGTGGCAACTATTGCTATCCTGGTCCACAAGAATGTCACGGTGGTTACAACCATGGCTACTTTGGTGGTCCTTACAGCTTCCGGCCTCCTTATCCTTACTACCCACCACCACCATCATACCACACTCATGGATTCTATCCTCCATTTCCAGGAGCTTACCCTGGTTACTCTTTCCCACCACCACATTATTCGGTTGAGCAGCCAAAGTACGATTATGACAAAAACACCCACGGTTCTTATCATTGCTGTGGATGCAATCATGGGGAGGATGAGAAGAAGATGAAGATTGAACGAGAGAAGCCAGAAATTGACAAGAAAACAAGCGACTCTTTGTCTCCTTTGCTGTTGAAGGACTACCCATATCCAATCATGTGGGTTCCACCTAGCTTCATGAACACTGAATCAAAGGCTAAGGAAAAAGAGAGGCATTCTCATGATCGTGTTCCATTAGAGCCTCTTGAACCTTCAAAGCAAAGTGGAAATGGTAAAACAGACCGAGATCAACATGGTGGCGATGATAATCCTCTCCCTTTTCCGATATTCTGGTTTCCTTCCAAGAATAATGAAGTGGGAGAGAAAAATGTTGCAGTAGCTAACGAGGCATCACCTTTCTCTAGAAGTGAGGCTGAATCCGATATGGGAAGTAAACCTACTGTCCAGAAGGTGATTCCGGTGAAACAATTGGGGACAGAAGAGGAGAAGAAAAGCCTGAAAAGCATAGACACAAAAGTGAAATCCGGTTCCGTGGAGAAAACAGATAATGGTATGGAGGGGAAAGCTTCACCAAAGACATCCAAACTGCCTCCCGTTTGTTTGCGCATTGATCCTCTGCCAAGAAAGAAGAACAGCTCAAGATCACCAAGTCCTCCTGGTGACAAAGGAAGATCAAAGGGATCGCCCATAGACGAATCAAAATCTTCCCAGCAACAAACACAGTTGTCAGAAGGCCTAAAGAAGAGCAAGGAGGAGAAAAGTGAAGGCAATATCAAAACCATCAAGGTGGTCGAAAGAGAGAGTCTTGCTGACCCTACTGAGAATGTACCCAGGGGGGCAGGTAGTCTTGCTGATCCTTGTGACAATGTACCGAGGGGGGAAGGGAATGGAAGTGAAAAGGGTATTGTATGCAAAGCAGAAAAGAAGTTTTCAGAAAATGAAGCAGCTTTGATCATACAGTCTGCGTGTCGTGGCTTTCAAGTGAGGAAATCAAAGCCAATAACGAAACTGAGGCAAATTGCTGAAGTTGGAAAACAGGTCATCGAGCTGAGAGAACGTGTTCAGGAGCTGGAATCATCTTCTGCTGGTATCTGCTTTGATGGCAAACAAAAACTGGTTATTGCAGAGACTATAATGAGCCTTCTGCTAAAGCTAGACACCATCCAGGTATTATATTACACACAGCTTACTTATTCCGTATTTCCAGCAGCAGAAACAGTTATCAATCAGTCGTTTTTCTATCATATATTACACATAGGGTTAAAATGGTAAATAATGATCATTCAGAACATTAAGTTGTAGAGAATTTATTAAAAAAGATAATAAAAAGAATAGGAGGAGGACGGGTGTTGTGAGGTGTGAAGAGGTCTAACTAGCGTTTGATATGCAGGGTCTGCATCCAGTAGTGAGGGAGGTTAGGAAAGGGGTTGCAAAGGAGCTTGTGGGTTTACAAGAGAAGCTTGATTCCCTGACGACATCTGAAACCCCAATTGAGGATAGCATCAAAAGGCAAGATGATGTTGATATGGAGGATGAAAAGTCTGAAACCCAAATTGAGAATAGCATCAAAAGGCAAGATGATGTTGATATGGAGGATGAAAAGTCTGAAACCCAAATTGAGAATAGCATGAAAAGGGAAGGTGATGATGATGTGGAGGAGAAGTCTGGAACCCAATCGGATAGCAATGTGAAACATGTGGAATGTTGTGATGATGATGATGCCGATCTTGAGCCACAGATGGAAGTGCAAAATGGAGAAAGCTACAATGGAGATGGTAATAACAAACATGTTGAGACGAAGCAACCTGTAGAATCTCGTAATACGATTGAATTGCATAGCTACAGCGGAGAGAGCAAGCAACATGTAGACGATGATGATGTCATCCAAGACAAGGTTAGAAATGGTGAGAATATGGAGCAAAAAGTGGTTGAATCAGGTACCAGTATTGAAAGTGTGAAAGATCAAGTGGAGATGTTAGAGGAAAATGAGGCTGAACAAGACTCAGTGACAGTGGATGATGATGGTGATGATGATGTGAAGACAATGGAGGAGGTGGTGAAGGAACAAATGGATGTGATCAGGGAGTTGACAGCAAGAGTGAAGGATTTGGAGAACAAACTGTTGAAAAACAAGAAAATGAATAAAGTAAACAAGAAGAGGAAGAGGTCTCGTGGCTGTCTTGTTCAAGAGGACCTTTGAACTGAGCTGACCTCTTCTTTGTTGTGTGTGTGGTAGTAATTATATATGCTTAATAAATTTCATGTTTTTGTTTATTTACCTCTTCCTCCCCTACTTTACGTTTTTTAGTCCCTGTGCTTTGTTGAAAACTATGTTTTTCGTCTTTATGGTTTGTTAAAGTTTACGGTTTTTTATCTCTGTGGTTTAAAAATTATGGTATTTGTCCCTGTGGTTATTTGAAGGCACAGAGATGGCGAAGATATCAAGCACTGAAACAACAATAAAAATGAAAATAATAATAATTTATAAATTATATATATGAGAATCATGAAGATAAAAATCACAATCTTTAACAAATTATAGTGAGAAAAAAAACGTAATCTACTCAAAATTGTATATTCATTCTTGTGATATGTAATTTATTATCTATACTCTATGGTTGTTTCGGTGTTTTAGGGTTTATAATCTTTTAATCTCTTATGCTTAGAAGAGAGACAAAAATAACAGGTTGTAGAGTATAGGGTGGAATCATGATTTCTAAACTACAGGGTCTAAAATCAAAATTACTAACAAACACATGGACAAAAATCTTAATTCACTCTTTTTTTAATACATATTATTTGTCAATTTAAAAATAAAAAATACACGTGTCACATCAATCGGGACCCTAAACAATGAAGGTGTTTAAAACCAACTAATTTTGTTTTGATTTTATTTGGGGTACAATCTTGTTCGTTTATTCTACATAAAGTTGAAAATTTCTCAAAGACCCGTTTAATTGCAAAATATAAATACTCTAAATGCTACGTCTGATCTTAGATTGAAATCTTTTGAACTTAAGATACTTCCTAATACTACCACGGTTTTGATAAAAATTTCTGGTCCAATTTGCTAGAAATCAAATTCGAGTTGATCTTGTTCCCGGCCGACCCAAAACGTTCGTCAAAATACAACCTACACAAAAGAGTAAATGTCATGGAACTATATTTCTCATAGAATCTTCAAAACATAATCGAAGGTTAAAAATCTTCAAAGAAAATCTATATTTATCTCCAATAACTTCTCCATTTTTAAAATTGCAGAACGAATTATACTATTAAAATATTTAATATCTTTCATAAAATATTACATCTCCCTCCTATACATTTGATTTTAAATGATTCCCGTAGGTAGGAAGAATAAGAAATAACTTATACAGGTAATCATTTATTACCTTGGAGAATTCTCTACCCTACTTTGTCTGTTTTAAAAATTGTTTCGAGGAATTGTTAGCAATTCCCCAGAAATTTCCATTTTAGAGAATCTGTTGGAAAGTTCCAGGTGAGATAACATTGTATCAGGCAGTTTACTGTTGGTACAATCACCGGGAAACCAAATTTCTCCGAAAACAACCACGAGCCGCCGACACCAACCGCCACAACCTCTCTCGTCCGGTACAGCATTTCATAAGCAGTAATGCTTATGATGGGAAGGTGGTGCTTTGGTATGTTGGATTTGCTGCCGGAACCTCACCGGAAAAAGAATCAGCAAGAGCAGAACATTCTTTAACACAATTCCAAATCAACTTCCATCTGCGTGCCGGAATTTACCATCTCGTCCCTGCCACTGGAGCCACCATTTTGGCGGCTGTTTCGTAATTGTGCACTAAGTTGTTCATTAACCCAGACCGCTAAGGAAACAGCATGGTCGCGGATAAAGGAATTAGGAGGCGGGCATTTTAGCATATCGATCAAGCCTTGATTATACTGTACTAGGCTGAGAGAAGGCAAGGCTGAACCTTGATGACGAAAATATTGAATCACCTTGCAAACATGCTCACACAAATTGCCCTTTTCTGCCCAGCTGCAGCTGCAAATTGCATATTCTGAACCTGGGTTCCATATAACATGAACTTTTTCTCGATCTTTTTGGTCAATAACTTTGACCCGTTCACCTTCTGTCACAACATCGGTGTTGGGGATCATTCTTGATTTGCGCCAAGCGGTTAGACCGCTTGCCCATTCATCCTTCCAGTAGCGTGAAAAGTCGTCTTTGCCATCATACTCATCGAGCCAGAAGTAGGCTTGTATTTTAGTACCCAATTTATCGACTAACCAATCAGCACGTCGATAAATATTAAAGTCGTTCTCGTTTAGCAACCTGATCTTTAATTGGTTGTGATAGAACTCGAGAGCTGCAGAACTCTCCTGGCTAGCAAGTGGTAGGGTTTTCAATGCTGTGATCCAAGGCCCTGATAGAAAAAATGAAAATTAGAAATATAAAAGAAACCAAACCAAACTAGGGGCGTTTGAACCGAAAAACCGAACCGAACTGTTTGTTCCAAAACCGCAACGGCTGATAACCAAAAATAAAGAAACGGGGCATTTACGGATTGGTTTCGGTTTTGAATTTTAGGTACCAGTGGGTACCTGAATAGAACTGGATGTAATGGTAAGACAATATTTAATATACAACATTTATATATTATTTATTTATTTGTCTATTTATTTATTTATCAACTCAAAGTTAAATGAGTTGAAGTCCTTTACGTTTTCGTGTCAAGCATGACGGTGGATGTGGCGGTATGACTATGAAGTCATGAAGTAGTCGACACTAACCAGAAAATGGATGGTTTTAGACAATTAAACTTATTTTAATTTGTAGGCTTTAATTACTTTTATTTAGCTGTTGTGATTGTTTTAACCGGTACCATCTCTATATTGTAGATATTTTTATAAATTCGTGTAACTGTGAACTGAACCATGAGTAACCGTCTTATTTCGGTTCGGTTCAACCTACGTTTCGGGTTCGGTTCGGTAGTCAGGTATCCGTCTAATACGGTTTGATTCACATTTTCCCACTAGTTGAACCAACCATGAACACCCCTACAAACAACCCGTAGATCCCACGCAGGTAGGGTCTCCCCCACCCCCCCCCCCCCCCCCCGGGGGAGGCAGGGAGGGGGGTAAGATGTAGATATACGACCTAGGGGTAGAGAGGTTGTTTTGTGTGAAGATCATGACTTAACTGGACTGGATAGGCAAGGGTGAGGTAGGCAGGTGAAAGAATTATGGAAGGTCTTATGGTTTTAGTTTGATATAGGTAGTTTAGTAATTTATTAATCTTATCCTATTTTCTTGATTTTGTTCCAAGACAAAATGCATTTTTGTCCTACTATGTCCCTGTCCTGTCCTATCCTATTATCGCATCAAACTTGGGACGACAAGTCTTTGTTCTGCCCTATCCCGTGTACCAAAAACACCCTTAAACATATAATGCAAGGCAACAGGGACAAAAGTGAGAAAATCGGTTAAAACCGTCACGGAAACACAAAATGCAATACCGATGACTACTAATACAGTAATACTGGAAGAAGAGAGAAGTGAATAATTAGTTGTCACTAACCTATTCTTGGATACCAAATTGCCTTAAAGTAATCCACAAAATCTCTGCATTCTTTAAAATTTTCCATGAAATTATCCAAGGATTCGACAGTTCCGCGTCCTCTACAGATGTCTTTCACTATTTGACCAAGCGCGTTTGATACTTTTGCTCGTGTCTCCATACAAGAACATCTCTTCATTAAGTTTTTATGCCATGAATGACGAACCCGCCAAAAGCAAATCAACACAGAACAATGAAACACTTCCCTGATAACACGCAGATCAAAAGCAACACACCAGTTAGGCAATCGACATAAACCAAGAAACTGCCACCGGTTGTCTGCATGTTTATTGATCTAAATTCTTCAAAACCACTGGAAAAATAAGACTATAAAACCAATAAGCCAGTGAAATAAACAAAGTAGAGAGGAATGCACATTAAACCAAACCAAATAAATAGCAAGTCCCACCCGAAGGTGGGGTCGGGGGGAGAGGTGGATCCAATGTATGCAGACTCCGGCTTGTGCAAAGTGTGCAACATAAAAGGATAAAGCTTCCTCAAACACATAAGAACTTGAAAATATGAAAGGTGATGCTAAAAATTAATTAAAAAACGATTTAGAAGTAAGCAACAACATTCAAACGGGTATACAAACTAGCAAACAAAAATACAAACAAAAGCAGGTACAAGAAAACTAGAAAACAGGACATACAAATAAAGGAGTGCAAGCTGTTGCATTCAACTATGCTTCCATTCAAGACCACTCACAAGTGCTGCTCCTCCCTCCTAATATAAATACTACAATCTTTTTATAATAAATGCAACATTTAACTCTAAGGTGAAGCTTCAGTACTAGATTACCTCTTTGCCCATTACCGATCATTACAAAATGTTGGCAAACCACAAATATTGATTTTGCTAGATAAGGTTCATCTATCTTGTCCTCATAGAGGTGCATTTTAGATATTTGATTCATAGTCAAGTACTCTTAATTTCAACTATAAGACAAATCAATATCTAATTCAAGGAAAATTAGGTAAAGAGCATTTCATAACAATCTGTGTCTGGTACATGGATTAGATTACAAGGGTTGGGTTCCGGTGAGAACGGAATTTATGGTGAGAAGGGTAAGAATGGATCTCCACCGTTGGATCAATCCTAATTGAAGATCAACACTAATGAGATGCACCAAGATGCACCGGATCAATTCCAGTATCAAGCGTAATTCATAGGGTGGGGGTGAGATTAAAAGTGATCAAGGGACCGGATCCCTTCTTACGCTTCTCACCTTATCTCCTATCCTCGCACGATCCTTCGTCCAGATTACCATCAATGTTTAATCATGTCACATATCAAACTGTAAACCCAGAGATTTAAAAAACGAGTTAGAATGATGCGCAAACCTGATAGTGAGGACATCGGCCAAAGGATCGTCGACTATAAACCCAGCCAATTTCCATGTAGGGTCTTTGGTGTGAACTCTATTAAAGAGAGCCCTCATCCATCTATGTGTATCCCCAGATCTGGAAAAACTTGGTGCTATTATCCATGCTACTGGTATGGCTTTGTTGTCTGAGTTGAAAACAACAAGACTTTGGATTGGGTACTGCATCAAGTTTTTATGGAGAAAGAATGATTTCATATTCCCTTTAGTGAAAATTACTCAAATAAATAGGCACTTTGGATTTTATGGTTAAGAGACTACTATTCAAATCTGAAAATAATTATGAATGGTTTACGTAATCAACTCAATATATATAGGGGCTAATCATGTGTGAAAGCCAGTGAATCATTTGTTGTTTCACATGATGAAACAAAGGTAGGCGCAAAAAGTTTCACATCGCAAAACAAATATATATGACCTCTTTGTGAAAACGAATCATTTCACATTGCCTAAAAAAGGTTTCACATTGCGAAACAAAAAAATGATGTGAAACAATACCTTGAGATTGGTTCTCACAGGTTTGTAACCTCATTGTGGTTCTCATTTTATTATTCCTCTATGTATTTATATACACACAGTAGTAATCAGCTCTTTCTTACAACTTCAAACTTTGATTTTGGCACTTTCAAGATTGGAAACAAGTCTATTTGACTGTAAATATCGAAATGTGAGCGAATACCAAAGACGTAAAGGTCAAACATACCTTTAGTTTATTTGTGCCAAATCTTGAATCTAAAGCAAGGAGTCGTCCATTGCCAAAACGAATCATTTGCTGCAATTGCCAGTCCGTTTGAATACCCAGCAAACAAGGATCAGTATCAGAGAAGTCCTCATAAAAGAATACATGACTCTGATGGCTTTCAACCCACAAGCTGATGCTGACATCATCATCTTCATCAAGTTCACAAGTTGAGCGCCTAATATTCCTCTCTTGAATCCTCACATATCTATGGGTTAAAAGGTCATCTCTATTACAGGGACCTCCTTGCTTCTCTACTGATTCGTTGTGTCTTTGCATAATGGTTTCAACTGGAATTCCAACATGTAGTAAAGACAACACACGGAGGCGTAGATCCTCTGAGATAAACGGGGCATACATAGCACGGGTTCCTACAGCCTTCTTATCTTGTGGGCCGTGGCATGGCAATCCCTTCTTGTCCACGTGCTTATCCTGGTTATATATGACAAGGGCTACGGATGGCTCTGCTATTAAACGCTTAACTATGAAGTGGCAAGTGCAACCTCTCTTTGTATTAGGCCTACCAGCAGATTTCTTCTTAGGTACATAAGTACTCCTACTGGGTCTAACCACGCCTCCTTTTCTATGATCATCTGGACCAAATGAGCACCAATACCTAAAAATAAAAATCATCAGGGAAACGCTTTTTATCATATGTGACAACTTTCATTTGGAGAGAGTTTTCCCTGAAAATGAATATATTTCTGCTGCTTGAAAAGAAGTAGAGTTTGATTTTGAAAGCCAAGCTTATTACTCTTTATATCTTAAACTAATATGCATGTCTTTGGTTTTCAGTCATAGTATTTTTGTAAAGGTTGATGGAGTTGTTGGACAACTTTCAAGAGTTCACAAAAATCGCCATTTTAAAATTGAAACATCACGCTTTTCGGGTCCGAGTGAAGATAAGAAACTTACAAAATATACTCAAGAATGCCATCAACTTTAGGCTTGTAAGGCATCTTGGGAGGGCGGCGCCTCCTAGCTTCTACATGAAATCTTGTTGGACAATCTTTGTTGCTAGATTCACCACGGACAAAGTCATCAACTCTAGCAAAAGGAACCAAAGCAAGTCTGTCCATATTGTCACGATGACCTTCTACCTTAGACCACACAAGATCACATGCGGAGAACTCCAAAGTTGGAGGGTTTTGTACAGGAAGGGACAGAATCTCATCCCATCTGGCCATCTATGTCAGTAAGAAGAGAACAAATAATGACTAGTTAAAACCAAAATGATAGCTTTCATGTTTCTAACAGGGAAGCAAAGCAAATAACAAAGAAAACTGGCATCCAATCATGGGGATAAAATAGCAATGGAGATTTGTTGAGTCGTTGACTGCAAAATAAAGATTCAATAGACATTTCTAATATACCTAGATGTTGCTCATTTTTATCCAATATGTGAAGGATGATAGATTATAAAGTTGTATAAGATATATGATCAGAGCCCTTGTCATTAGCTCTACAATGAAGAGGCACTTACTCTAGGAGCCATAGTTGATCACTTTATCATGTTTTGAAGTTAACTGATGCATTATCCTTGTTAGAACTTTTTTGAACCTTTTGTTGTTCTGATCAAATTTGGGTATCGTTTGATAGCAGGGTGATATGGAAATGGGTATAACAATACCAAAACTATTCTTTGGTTGATGAGTTAAGTTTGGTATCATTCCCAAAACCAGTGTTTGGTTTGCTAATCTATGAATACAGGAATACAGCAACTTCGCATGTTTACCTTACGGCCTTACCATTGAGACCATTTGGAACGCTGATATCTTGATACTTGGCTTAGAAGAAAGAATGTATAACTATAAATACTAAAAGCTAAGGGCCTTTTTAAACAATGTCTGGACTCTGGAATCTACTATACATTAGGAATATGCAGGCTGCAAGAACACTACAGAGAAAATCAATGGAAAATGATGTTCAAGAAATTTAGAGCATTAGCTGTTGGTTTACACCAGAGTCACATAGGAAGTACTTTCGGTTTACACCAGGAGGAACTAAATTATAAGGAGAACATCAAAATATTAACTGTAGAATCTTACTATTGCTAATAGTCAATCAGCAGTTCAACCCGATCCTACAAGTAGCTAGTATTGACCCATCACATAAAATGATAAAAACAAGGTTATCAATATGAATCAGCAGAGTTGTTATGCTTAGAGAACACAACCTCAGTTGTTAATCGACAATCTATAGTATGTTCATACTAGCAGGATTTTGTGTATTTCTTAGATTTTACACATCAGTACGAGAAAAATAAAGATAATAATTAAAAATGAGATGGTTTATTTTCTTTAGCCATCGTTTTGACAGTGACTTATAGCAATCATATGTCGAAAATTTTACAACAGAGACTTGAAAAGAGAAAGCTAGGGTTTCAAACATAATAAAAACATTACAGTATATCAAAAAGTTGCAGCATTAATTTGGGGGTGAAACCTCAATAGTTTCTATCTCGAAACTCAGAAGGTTTTCTGAGTTTGGACAGTGAGAATGACTAACCGTGAGAGAGAAGAGAGCGCCGATGACGGAGGACGGATGGCGGTGGACGGAGGCGAGGTTCGGAGGCGATATAGAGAACTGTGAGGCCGCCGGAGCGATTCACAGAGTATTTGGCAGGTTTTTAAAAAAAATGAAAACCTTCGAGACAAGGTTTATGAGCACCATTTGTTTTTTCTTTTATTTTATTTTCTGTTATTTATAATTTATTGAAAAAAATTTAGAGATTTTTATCTTTACTTATTTATAATTTACTAGATATATACTCGTACAATGTAATGAAATATATTTCAATTTTAATATTTTGTTTTATTTTTTGTTTTTATTAATTTTTATTTTTAAATAAAATATATAAATTTAAAGATATCGTAAAACTTTAAAAAAAATATATTGATATTAATATCAAATTAATTATTTAAAAATTCTCGTTTTTAGTATAATTTTTTTAATTTATTTTTTATTATAATTTAATTTATGTTCAATAATAAAGTAATTTATTTTTCATGTAATAATATAATTTTTTATAAAAATAATAATTAAGTATTATGTTATAAATCAACAATTATCCTAATTACATTTTAGAATTTTTATATTTAAAATGAGATATTTATCTTGTATTTGATTATGTTAATATATAGTTAGTTACAAAAGTTCAAAAATAGAGTTTTAATAAATTGTATTTATGTACATTTTACTTGTAATCTTGAATTTTAAGTAATATGCATCAATTTATAGTACTTTATGCATAAAAAATGGTTTTTAAGAGTTTTTGTCAATATTTTATACTATAATATAGATTGAATTCTATGGATTTTTGTAATTAAATTTATCGATATATTTAAGTTAATAAAAACAGGTGATTACTATGTATTAATCAATATATTTGAATTAAAAATATTGTTAAAACAACAAAATGCATTTGGCAAAAACTATATGATAAATAAGTTGAAAATGTAAAATGACTAAAAATGACATGTTAAAAAAATCAGTCGATTCCAACATCATAATGATATAATTCAAAACAAATCACTAATAATATAATATATTAATTAATACAGCTCATATGATAAAAAATTTAAATAATATAATGTATTAAATAACATATTGTAAACATTCATAGGAGTCAATTGGTGTAACCAAATATGAATTTTAGAAAGAAAAAAATGCATTGTTGATGATTTTAAATAATCATTATATATAATATGAATAAAAATAAAATTTATCAAATGCATATATTATAATTAATTAATAATAATTAATTATGTAATTAGAAAAAATACGCAAAAAGCTTCGGAATGAACGTTTTTATAAGTTAGCATAAAACATCGTCAACAAATTCTCGTAAATAAAGAAAAACAAGAATTTGTGTGGTTCTTTTCTTCAATAATTTACAACCGTTCAAATAAAGCTTTTTCAATGAACTTAAAAACAATGCCTTAATTCATAAACCAAGGTTAAGGGCGTTTTGGTTGATTTTCCATTAAATCTTGTATGGTTAAACCTGCCTATGTAGAATAATTTATCTGTAGAGATTGGGAAGGTTTTTGTTTATAGAGATTTTTCATATAGATGAAAGGAACATGTTTTTCGATTGAGAGGAATAAGTTTGAAAAAAATTGGCTTTTTACATAAAGTTCTCTTTAAAAACTTACTGAATAAGTCATTTTTATATCATTAAGCTACCACCAAACAATCATCTATAACTAACAGAATAATTCGTGAGTCTTATTAATCTCGTTAAACTAAGGGACCGTTTATCAAACATTTATCTTATAAGTGTTTACTGGTAAAATTTAATACTATTATGTACTTGGCTAGTAAAATTTTAATCCACCAAAACGACATAGTATACAATAATTTATCCAGTAAGCACTTATCATGGTAAGAGTTGTCGCCCTCACTTACCGGGTAAGACTCTTAATCATTGTCTCGCTCTTACCGGATATGATTATTGGTTCTTACTATATTCATCCGTTAAGATAGTATACTTGATAGGCCTTTACCCAGGTAAACGTTTGATAAACTAAGTCATGACTTGCTTTCAAATTCAAATTCAGCCCAAAGTTTATTTTCCCCAAAAACCCTCATTTGAGGGGGTACTTGATTTTCAAAACAAAAACCATATTCATTGACTTTGACCTTGACTTTTTGATGTAAACTTTACTTACCAGTATACAATTCAACAAGAAGAACATTTTTATACAACTATGACCACCAACTTGATTTAAAACAAACTATCTAGATATCGAACCCATCGAAACCGGCCATAGTAACCGGTCCAAGCGACTCACCTTCGATACTAGCCAGAACACGAATGTCACGAGTCCTCTGGTTCCATCTCGTTGCAAAAACCACGAACCGTATCACCACATCCTTCTCGATCCTTGACAAATCATTACTCAGAAACACAGGTTTTCCTTCCTCTTCCACAAAGTAATAATAATTTGGCATCTTTCGAGTCGATAGATAAACGATCTTCATGGGTCCAGATTTCAAGAAAACCCCGAATCTGTTTATCGAGTGCACGATGCCGACCATGACTTCACCCTTGACGGGCAAAAGGGTTCGACAGTTGAAGGCTACCAGAAAGTCGATATACTTCAAAGACTCGTTGTTAATTCTTCCGGTACCAATGTTTTTTAACTTGGTTACTCCTAAAAAGTAACCGAACTCCTCTAAGGCTTTGCACATTTTCAACTGTTTTAAGAGACTGCTCACAATCGAACTTGTGGGAACCGTTCCGTTTGTGTCCACGTCTTTTGTCGGAACTGCTACATGTTGGAGACATTCCACTTCACACAACATTCTGCACCAAGATCACAATTAAACGAATAAAACCGGATACAAGTTTCAAAGTACCATTGGAAAGACCGTCGGCTAGGAATTTAAGCCATCCGTGGTGCTAAAAGGTTTAATCAAAACATAAGCACATTTTCCTCATTTTGTTTAACAAATACGAAAAGGATATACAATATCAGCAAGAAGTCAATCACAGAATAAATGCAGAGGAAGCAAGCATATGGGTGCGTTTGGTGGGTGGACTACATAGGATATGACGGGACAAAACCAGAGCTTTTTTGTTCCATCCAAAAAGGTGGAACACATTAGACAAAAACACAAAGTTACTATCTTACCCTTCTAACATAACAAATCTAAATATCATGTATTTTATATATATATATATATATATATATATATATATATGTGTGTGTGTGTGTGCGCGCGCGCGCGCGCAGAGGAGCTTAATCATTTGAGAACTCTAAAATTTGCGAGACCCTTAAGAACTTCTACCTTAAGTTTTTGTTCACATGATATTTTTCCATCTAAGTATAGTATTTAATGTATTAATTAGCATATATTTGTTTCACAATGTGTTCGTTTATATGTATTTGGTTCAGAATGTGGAACTTTTTTATGTGTATTTTTGTTTCATAAAGACGCCAAAAAGTTTCACATTATGAACTGAGTATATGTGAAATAAATATATGTTAATCACTGCATTAAATTGTAGCCATAGATGAAAAAAAATTATATGAAATAGCACATGATGCACTAGTCCTCAAAGATCTCACGATTTAGAGAGTTCTCAGAAGAAGGTCTCCCTATCTATCTATATATATAGGGTTGGGTTCCAATGAGAATGAAAGTTATGACGAGAAGGGTAAGAAGGGATCCACACCCCTGGATCAATCGTAAATGAAGAGGAACACAAGATCAACACTAATGAGATACCGGATCAATTCCTTTCTAAAGAGATATTCATGGATTGTTTTGGGATTAAAAGTGATCAAGGGTCCAAATCCCTTCCTACACTTCTCATCTTAACATCCTTTGTCTATATATATATGTTATAATTTATTTTTTATAATAAAATTATTTAAACAACATTTTAGGGCAATCTTGTCATTTTAATAGTTTTTGTCACATCTTGTTCTAGTCGTACCAAACTTAGGACAAACAATTGGTCTAGTTCGGTGTATGCACACCAAACACTACCTATATGTGTAAAGAAACAAGATCCCAGAAGAAAGCAGAGTACTGTAAATTGCAAAAAATAAAGCAACCGAATCTACTAGAAGAAATTGCGAGCTAAGAGAAAGCCAAAAGAGAAGATACATAGAAAGTGTCAGCCTGTTGAATAAAAGAACAAAATTAGTTGAAGCACTTCAAAGGTACATCATATTGTGCCATTTGATCTCTACTAAAAGATGGAAGATATTTTGTTCACTTGCAAGCTACCATATGCCAATTTAAATGAACATGACAAAAACCTATCAACTAGACACAAATTTAGACCATCTCCAATGACGACACAAAATCTTAAACCAAATACCAAATTTCACAACAAATCACTCAATGAGGACTCTGGATTTGGTGTAATACTATTCATTTACACCACATTGGTGGTAAAAGATATGAATGAATATACCTAGAAGCTTACATTGTGGTGTAAGATTTGGTGTTACCCATTGAAGTAGATTTCTTGTTCGCACCAAATTTTAAGCCAATTTTTATTGATTTGGTGTAAGATTTGGTGTTACCCATTGAAGATGCCCTTTAGATCAAATATTCGTTTTAGCCTCTCTTTTTTTCCTTGATAAAATCTTAAGCTCATATTGCTAAACCTCATTGCTCCTCATCAGTACTTGTATTCAAACAATACAACTCACATAAGGCAACCTAACTAAACTAGACTTAGAAAACTGGCCATTGCCTCCAGGTGCCAACCTAACAAAATCAGCACAAAATTCTTATGGGATGGAGGTAGTGGAACTACGGTATCGATCCTTGTCTTCTACTTCCACATCATTTATTACTTGATCAAAAACTAAATCTGGAGATGTGAGATTTAAACAAACGATATATCAAGTGTTAAGAGGATGAATTCATAAACCCCTGTTTAAGAAAAACCTTTAAGAGGGCATTTCGCTTGCAAAATGGAATTTGGTGGAATCTGAATACATCAAAATAATTGGAATTTGAAGAAATTGGAACGGAATTCGACGAAGTTTGACCACACATTTGGTTGGCAGGAACTGGGATGAAATAGTAAATGACCAAAATACCCCTTAGTACATACAATTTAATGATAATACTAATTGGTGGTGGCAGTGGCGGAAGCAGTGGTGGCGGGTCATTTAGGTATATAACCTTAAATGAGATTTCATACTCATCGGAAGGTCATGAATTTAATTAATATCTCATTTAAGGTTATATGCCTAAATATACACGGTGGGGCAGTGGCGACGGTGGCGGCAATGAAAGAAAGACTCCAAAGGCAACGAGCATGCATGTATAGAGCAGGCTATGAATTTTTTGGGGTAGTTTTGTCTTATTCAAAAAAAATTATCATTACCTGACTAATAATTTTTGTAATTATATTTGGTATATTAGTTATTTATGAAATCAAAGGGACAACCCAATCTATGTTAACCCGGTTTATAATTTTACCTGTTTTGACATGTTGCCCAACTCGCCCAACCCATCCATTTTGTCACCTATAGACTAGAGTAATCCCACATGAGATCATTCTAAATGGGAAACCAAAAGCAACGAATGGTGGACTCTTTAGAAGAAATTATAAGAATGGAGCAAATAAGGTGAACTAACAAATCATAATTCAGTCAACTGCAGAGAAATATAAAGAAACTGAGACAACAGATCCATTCATTTGAGGCAAGAAAAAGGGCATACCAAATAATAAAAACTCAATGAGATAACAAAATGCAATAGCAATTTCCTTGAGTGTGATGACATGTTCACATCATGGTATAAGTTCTACACTAGAGTTGAGCAACTACATAGTATTTTCTTTATGAAACCAAGAACTTACTTTTGTATATCACTAGTCATCGCAATATGTATTTCAAATTCAATTCCCAAGTTCATACATGATTCAAAAACAAGGACTGCCGTTTGATGATAAGATTTCAAGATTTAAATAATCTTTTTCTAATACTTCATCCTATTTAAAAGATTAATTTTCAAATTCATGGAACATTGGTATCCCAATTCCCCATTTGATAGTTAGTTGATAAACTATATCTACCATATTTATCTTAATACAATAACATCGGAATCATTGCTTTAAAATCTGTGTTTAGCTCCATGCTTATGTAAACATTGAACCTTCGAAGTACAAGCCAGTTATTTGATAGTTTCAGCGATGAATATTAGTTTCATTCTCAGCATCCCATTTAAAGATTATTTTGAATATGGAATCCCAATTCCCCATTTGATATTTAGCTAATAACCTTACAATAAACTATATCTACCATGTTTTCTTAACCTAATAACTTCAGGAAGTAAGGGTAATCATTGCTTCAAAATATGCGTTTAGGTCCATGATGATGTAAACAATAAACCTTCATGTTCTTTTCATTCTCAAATTTTCTCTCCTTTTTTAATGGGTGACTTATCTGATAACTAGAACATTCCAGAAAATCATCAACTAGTACAATGACAAATGGATACCTCTATTTGCAATATGTTTTCAAAATTTGCAGATGTATTCAAAAGGATTTTTTTTTATCAAAAGACCATAGTTGAACTCGGACAAAGTCGATGCTTACTTTGATCCAAAACCCTAAGAGTTATAAATTGGAAATTAACTTTAGCAAAAGACATTATAAAAGGAAGTGAGATCTGGGTTGTATAATTTTATGCCACAACAGCTGTGGGAGCGGAAGTAACACTACCGGATAAAAATTTATACAGTCCAAGTCCCATTTCCTGTTGTTTCAAAGCTCGGATACTCTTTTTAATGGTGCTACACACTACGATATCTTTGTTGGATACCCTAAGTTTGCTCTCATTGCCTCATTGGAACGTATTAGGTAATCTAACAAATCTACCTATTTTCAATTAAATATTTACTTCCATACATAAACATTTGATGAGTTGAATTTGAAAATGTGACATTTTAGTATCTTCAAATTTTGGAAGCACATTTTCTTTAGGGTTTAACTTTTGTAACTTTGATGTGAATGCTTGGAATTTAAAGAAGAGTTCGATATCTTTCTTTATTTTTGGTTAAAAGGACCCTTTCTTTACGTCTTTTGCTAAAGTTAATTTCCTAAACGTAACTTTTAGGGTGTTGGATCAGAGTGAATTTCATCTGTTCGGGGTAAGCATCTACTTTGGTCTGAGTTCAGCTATTGTCTGTTGTCAATACATGTATCTAAAACTGAATAAGTGCAGGATTCAGCATAGGCGCCTCCTTCCAAGGAAGCCCAGACTGATAAACAGTCAACGAAGATGAAGTGAGAAGGGATAGCTGAGGGGACAGAGAGCATACTGATTGGATGTAAAATTTGTTCAGTAATCAGCATCAAACAAAAAGTTCAAATCACACCTAAAATCTTTCAACAGAAAATAACGGATTCTTTACAAGATAAGGATCCATTTCAAAAGATTATATGAAAGGAGCAAAGCAAACAATGAACCCTGCAAATAACCCCTATTTGGATATCTATAAACAAAACAATATCAAAAAACTGATCCGTACATGGAAATCTACTCCGAATAATCACTCAAACACACTAATTCTACAAACAATTCAACACAACTTCTCCTTCAACCCCCTTTCTCTTCAAACCCTAGAAAACATACTTAGAATCGATGCATTGTCTAACAGACCAACTAGATTTACAAACTCATACTTGACCCAAAATGTGTTCCACAAATTGAACCACGATCTTAAGCATCACATAAACCGATAATCATTTCGATTACGATTATATACATTAAAAAATCATGTATTTCTTCTACATAAGACATAACAACAAACATTATTCGATTTACATGGTGAATTCAGATAAAATTACGATCAAAATTTGCCCTAATTTGACACGTAGACAGTATGATCGCAAAATTTGACCAAAATTCGAAAATCAAATGATCAAGATGCACGAATCCTAGCTTACCGGAGAATTTGGTGATCGCTATGTCGGTTGTAGCCCTCCTTTACCGGCTCCTCCGTGAGGGTTTCGCGGTTCACGATACACTATTGGTACAGCATTGGGAGGGCTTACTGAAGAGTGAGTGGTCTACCGTTTGCCGTTTGGGAGTTCTCTGGATGGATTCATGACATGCTTGTTATTTAATTATTTTTCATTAAAACCGATAATTTAATAAATTTTCATTTATAAAATGTCAAAATAATATTTTAAAATATTTCGATTTTGATGTTATTTAACACTTAAATAATATTTTAATTACATATTCAAAGTAAAAAATTTAAATTAATATTAACCAAAATTATCTATGGCATAAAAGGCATTTTCGATAACCTATTAAAAACCAATTTTTATATATTAGGTATCTTTAATTAATGCATGTCACTTAAAATTTATAAATACATATACCATAGAAGTGTGATAAGAACCCCCATCTCTGTCCCCGTCCCCGCCCCCGCCCCCACCCCAGTCTGAAGGATATGAGCAGTTGGGGATGGGATCCTCACTCGGGAATTGGGGAGTTTTTTTTATTATGTAAGATATTTTAAATCAATTGTGTTAAATGTTACACTTGATTCAAAATGGTTCATGTTTAAATCTAACGTCTTTTCATAATATATGTTAACAAAATCACAAAAGTATATGTAATTGTTTGTACAAATGTTTTTAGCTCTCCATTTTTTTTATGTAAAACAAGTTAGAAAAAATGTATATGAGAAAAAAAATGTCAAAATATTATTTCTAAATTTAGATGATATTAAATTTAATTATATAAAATAATATATTTACTAATAAATATATGATATATTTAAGATACCAGTAGGGGACGAGCGCAGGCTGGGAATCACGTTACTCAACTCCGACCCCGTCTAAGGTTTTTAACTTTGGGGGATCCCATCCCATTTGTGGGGAAACCCCGTCAAGACGAGTACACCAGGTTGTTAATGAAGCGGATCTCATTCTCTGACCTATTATTAATGCATAAACATGGTTTTTTAAAACTCTGTCTTTGAAATCCAGTAATTGAACTTATAATGTGTTAAGATATATGATAAAAACATATTATATATTTTTTAGTTAAAATAAAATACATTTTTATTTAAAATCAAAATATAATAATTATTATTTTAATTAAAAAATGAGGTATTGTTTTCTTATTAATTTAATGCTAATATCACAAAAAAATTCCGTTTTTTATCAGATTTATCTTATTATTGTAATGTTACGTATTTTTCAAAAATAAATATATTTATTATTTATAATGTTTATATTGTATCATACAACATTTTAGTTCAAAGTATTAAAAATAAGCTATTTAAGAGACGATGATTTGATTGGTTTTGTTCTTATGTGTGATACATTTTTGATCGATTGCAAACTTATCTTGACTTACAAAAACTAACAAATATCCCCAACCGACGATTTCTTGTACCCTAAGCTTAAGTTGACGACTTTTACTTGTTCGTAATTAATCTCTTGGAGAAGTTTAGTAATGTTATCACTTTTATCTCGGTAGACTTTTCATTCAACAACATCAGATCATAATGCATAATTTATGTGCGTGCCTAACGAGTGGATGTTACCACTAATACACTGTTTATTTCTACATTTACACTTGAGCCAATTGAGCGGGTTATCTTTGTGCCGCCAAAGAAAATCTACATTGTGTGTGTATATATATACTAGAAGTATACTCGCGCAATGCAACAAGATACATCTCGATTCTAATGTTTCGTATGTGTTTTGTCTCAGTCAATGTTATAATATGGTTTTATGTGGTTTTGATAAAACGATAATGTTTTTTTAACAAATATAAATATGAAAATATTGTAAAAATTTGAAAAAAAAAATATTGATGTTAGTACCAAACTAACTATTTATTATTATTTTATTTTTTTTGTGTATTTCTTTTATTCATTTTATATTTTTGGTTTAATAATATAATTTTTTATAAAGATAATAATCAAGTATTTTGTTAAAACTCAATTATTATCCTAGTTATATTTTAGATTTTTTATATTTAAACTGATATATTTATCATCTATTTGATTATATGTATCTGCAGTTAGTTATATGAATCCAAACATGTGGCTTTAATAAGTTGTATTTACACACAATTTACTTGTAATCTTGAATTTTAAGTAACATGTATCAATAAATAATACTTCGTATATAAAAAATATTTTTAAGAGTTTTTATCAAATGCTTTATAATATAGTATAGATATATATATTTCAAAAAATAACAATCCAAAAGATAACAAAGGCATGTGTATATATGCGTGTGTATAACAAATACCCATGTGCACTTCTCAACTTTGTTAAGATTATAACCTTTAATATTTGAGGAAGTTAAGGTTTATTAGTAACCTGGTACTGCTGGCCATGATCATCTGCTATATCTAAAATTGTTATTTGGCATGTATGTCTCGACACAACATTAAAACTCTAGATCTTCCAATATGGCATCTCACCGACGGATTGGAACCTCTTGGACTGTTGTCATTCTATATGGTACATAAGCATTAAATATATTATTCACCCCATGATTAATTGATTAGTCATCATGACCTGAAGTTGGTCGATCATTTTAATACACACACAAACACATGCGTGCGCACATATATACATATATCATCCAGAAAAGTGTATTGAAAATCGATAGCTAAGGTGCACAAACGATACGTCATAAAAGATAATGCAAGTGTATTTTTTGCATAGGAAAAATTCCAATTCGAACTTTAAAATAACGAAATGATCAATTAATACTTCTTATAACTTCAATCATTTTAATTCAACGATTAAGCAAACAACCATCAAGAATTAAGTAGTCTTTTAACCTTGTTTAACACCTAATTCTTTATTGAAAAGGGATAATAGGAACGAAAACACGTACAAAAAAATCTATATCTTTTGAGATACAATGATTGTCACGACTCACGAACTAATGTGACATGTAACTGGATTTCGTAACTGAAATATCTGATTGATTTTGTTACAGCAAGCATCTTATTAAAACATTAAGTCAGTATTTAGTAAAGTATAATGTCAGTTATTAAAAGATAAGATGTATTCGAGAACATTTCATTATAAAAATCTATACATACATAAGTGTTTATATATACATAGACTCACATATTTGCGTTATATCTCATTTTATTCGGTTGGATAAAACAAATATGTTAAAGTATCTTCGACAAATTCTTCAAAATAAACAAAATGATTGACTTTCTGCTTTAACAGTATGTTTCAAAACTTTCTTCCAAATACAGAAATTAGGATGAAAACATGAAAATCCTCTTATTTATAGAACTATCAAAAAAATAATTTGAATAAGTTTTTTTTAATTATTCTCACCAATAACAAAATGACAAATTGCATGAAAAAGTAACGCACTTTAACTTGATTCTTGTTTTGAGTAACGTACTTTCAAAACTTAAATTTTGATACCTAAAATGTAAAGTTTTAAACATTTAAATATCCGGGTAATCGGTTAACGACTAATTTAAGATTTAAAAAAGACTAATTTTAGATTAAAAAAATTCATGTCACTAACTATGTCAGCAAATAATACTGAGTTGGATAATACATCACTCGCTACGTCAGCATGATAACTGATTAATGTTTTAACCAAATACCCGGGTATTTAAATGAAAGTTTTCATGCAATTTGTCTATAACAAAATTAAAAGAAAATTTATTAATATTTTTAATAATCTATACTATATTATAAAGCATTTGGCTAAAACTCTTAAAAACTCTTAAAACTCTTAAACTCGTTCATCTCTAAACGATTTCATCTCTATCCGATTTCACCCCATAACTGAATTCGTGTAACTAACTGCATATAAACACAATCAAATACAGGATAAACAT